ACCCAAGTGGCTGCAAAATGTCTTTGATTGTTTGCAAACTGTTTGTGAACAAACACAATTACAATTTACATGTAAATGTACATTTATTTTTTCTGTAAATTTACATGTAGGGTCCAAAGTCAAGTGTGACATTTTTCCTGTCCCTGGGCCGTGATACTGTACTTTGTACATTTAATTTGCCATTCAAGTATTATTACTGGTATTGGTTTTGTAAGAATTTACTGGTTTTGTTCTTCTCAGCATATTCTCAGCAAATCCTTCTCCAGAACTGTTTGGAAAAATGGAAACATACATGTATATGAACTTCATTTGTCAATACATGAATGCCCAATCCACCGCAGATGTGTTTTTTTGCAATTACGTCATCATGACGTCATCATGGGTCACGTGACGTCACTTGAAAGTTTAATAAATTTAATCTTTGAAATTCCATATAAAATCAACCTTGAGAGACCGGAACCTGAAATTTGCGGGAATCGACATGGTACCGTAATACATGATCTTCATTTTATCCTGTGCGCGTAAAATCACGTGGCCCTTCCTTCCGGTCAAAACCGGAAGTGCCTAATAATTTAAAAGTGGAAAAAGATATGAACTTGCTTTTAACGATTTAAGTGTCTGCCTGGATTGACCTTTCCAAAAAAATAATGGGTGATGCCATGAAGTGGTAGAGCGCCCTCTAGCGGTAGGTTAAAAAACGTCAAAAACGCAGTTTCACTTGATGTCTGTGGCGAAGTTTGCGGTAATTGCTTCAAAATTAATGTACATGATGACCATAATGCAGACAACACCTGTGCGCGAAAAAAAAAAATTGATTACGTCATCAGACCGGAAGTTACAATAAAAAGACCTTTAAATCTTAAAAAATTGCTAGAAAATATACCGTGATAGATATAATCAAGATTTGGCCGTATACAGCATAGTAAATATAGCTCTTGAGGTTTCTGGTAATGACGTCACAATGACGTCATCAAGTGTCATATTACAAGCAAATAAATATTTCCATATTTAATCTTTGAAAATCAATATAAAATCAACTGCTACAGATATGATTTTGTTTTTTTATGGCAATCGATAAAATATTGCAGGGTCTTCATTTTTGGTTTTAAGTGCAAAATCACGTGACCCTTCCTTCCGGTCAAAACCGGAAGTGCCTTATCAATTGAAATTGGCAGAAGATGCGAACTTGCTTTCAACGATTCGAGTGTCTGCCTAGGCAGCACTGTACAAAAATTTTACAGGTGACGTCATCAAATGTTAGAGCGCCCTCTGGCGGCATGTTGAAAAGTCAAACATGGATTTAAACATGCATATTTTGAGTTGATGTGTGTGGCAAAGTTTGCGGTAATCCATGGCCCAACACCGTGTGGTTGTTCCTTCAACCTCTAGTTAAGAATGAATTTGAACAATTGTTTTATTTGTTGGGTAGGCAGTTTGCCATTCATAATCTCTCATCGTAGATATTGGATGTACCCTGTAACAGGGACAGGATGAAAGTGGACCCCAAATTTATAGAATGACCCATTTATATGAACATGTTTGTTTTAGACTTTGTACATTAGAACAAAATGTACATTAGATGTACGCCATAGAAGAGCATTAGCCCGGGCAGCATTCTGAAAGCTTGAAAAAATCTGGAAATCTCAAACAATTCATCTTGACCTCATCCTCAAGATCTTCCAAACTTCATGCCTCGCCATCCTCATGTATACCTGTGAATCGTGGGTAGTGATCAAACACCTCAAAGCTTACATCAATAGCTTTGCTACAAACTGCTTCTGTATCGTTTTGAAGATCAGGCAGAGAGACCACATCAGTAATGATGAAATGCATGAAATAACAGGACCAACAGCCCCTCTCCATCACCATTTACGTACCAGCGGCAGCTTAAATGGCTTGGACATGCGCTGAGAAAACCAAAAGACGACATGGTCAACCTCTGCGCCCTTCCTTGATGTACCCACAGTACATTGCCAGACTACTCTCTAAAGATGTAGCTCTTACACTTAAGGAGATCATACATTTGCAATATATTTTGCAAATATGTTGACAAGATATTGTCTTTTAATTTGTTTCCAACAAAATTGTAGCTTCAATTATATAGAAAGGGATTATGACACCTTCGAGGAACAATTTTGTATCAGCAAAAGATTCGAGAAAATCAAAGAATCAATCTTGGAAACATTGCCATTTTTCTTTGGGGGGGGGGGGAGTGCCCGCCTCCTTACTTTTTTTTCAAAAAGCCTGGACAAGATTTACTTTTTACTCGATTGATCGACCTAAGTACATACATAGCATTTATATGATTTTGTGCGAAGAATGAATTCAGTATGAACCACTGTGCACATTTAAAAGGCAAAAAAATTCATTTTTCCTGCCCGATTTGGCATACACATAAACAAACAGACGGACCAAATTACAATTAACATGGAATTTGTCATATTCATTTAGAAATGGCAACTATCGAATTACACGGTGCATTATCAGACTGTGAAACTTAAGCCCAAACGGAGTCCAGACAAACCGACAATGGATTTTGTACATGACCTTTACAGTTATTTATTTTCAGCGGTAACTTAAGCGCCACTAACAGCCCATAAATGCCACCCAGAACAGAAATCAGGCACTCTTGTACATGTAGTGGTTAGCATAAAGAGTGTAGTGACCCCCCCCCCCCCCCCCCCCCCCCCCCCCACTTTTCGTTTATCTGTGGCTTAATGTACATTCTTTGGGCCAGGAGCTCTGTTTGACGATTCAATTAATTAAATGTCAGGGAGAAAAAGTCGTCTTTTTTGCATGCACATGTAATTTGAACTATTTAATGCTTTCACACTTTTGACTGTACCCCGGTAGCTGTAGGATTTTCCTGATAAATAAAAATCCTGAAAATACAGTGTCTTAGCCTTTTTGTTTCAATGTTTTGTGTACAAGTACTGGTACACATATAAATTGGCTCTAACATTAAAGATATATACATGTAGTCCATCATTTGTAATTTGTGCATTTTGTTCGTTTGAAGCAACAAAAGTGTTCAAAATCTAATGAAGGATACTGAACAACTAACCTGATGAAGTTTCAGCTCAGCTTCAGCTGTATATTCCGAGAAAAACAGCATTCTAGGATCTCAATTTCAAATCAAAAATTTGCTGAATCATGTTTTGAATTGTTTTGAATTGCAGCTATACGCGATGTCGCGCACTGATCCGATGAAATATAGCAACCGCGTGCGCCTGTGCGTCGTGCCAATGCTTGCGCGCGCTGCGCCTAATAACAAAACGAACTACTAAATTTAAATTTTCCTACGGTGCGTCTTAAGACGCACCGTTGGAAAGGCCTTCTTTCGTTGTTTACTTCAAAATGATAGCTTGCCAGAAAGATTAATTTCACAGGGAGTTTATTCCACTTACTATCTTTCAACCAAGTATGTTTTTCATCAATAATACGCCAGTTACTTTTTCGGATGGCTGCAAATGATGGACTATAGCTTTAATGGCCCAGAATGCAATGCACACATTGTACATAGTAAAAGACCAGGTGGAGAGTTGCATGAAGAGTTCTGTATATTACATGCACGTACGTGCATGTATGTGATCCTAATAATACCGGTACATACACATGGTGATACACATAATGATTTACTGAGGTTCTCCTTCACCTCCCCCTCACCATACACTGCCCCGCCCATTATGTGGGGATTTTGGTCACGTTTTCTCCAGGACGATTCTTGCCTTTTCATATCACTTCTCATATTGTTCACTTCTCATATTGTTCTCCTCACTTCTCATATTGTTCACTTCTCATATTGTTCTCCTTCTTCTCCACCTCCCCCTCCCCGTACACTGCCCCGCCCATTATGTGGGGATTTTGGTCACGTTTTCTCCAGGACGATTCTTGCCTTTTCATATCACTTCTCATATTGTTCACTTCTCATATTGTTCTCCTTCTTCTCCACCTCCCCCTCACCGTACACTGCCCCGCCCATTATGTGGGGATTTTGGTCACGTTTTCTCCAGGACGATTCTTGCCTTTTTCATATCACTTCAAATACAAATCACTCACTTTACTTTTGTGTCGGTAATGGTGCCCCAGGGTTTGACACTGAAAGTGACAATCCCCACCTGGGGGGAAGGAACCCTTGGATGCTGGGGGGGGGGGGGAGGGGAAGGGAGAATTGATTACATGTAGTGCTGGATAGTAAGCCTTGTGCACAGTTCAAGATTCGGCTTCTCGGCACTTAACTTTTAGAGTATGAAAGTACATCATGAAGTGGCATCCATGTCCTTCGCATTTGATATTCGTTTCCAAGCAGGCACAGTTAAATGAACTTGTCCGTGCGAAACTGAAAGTTCGTTTTCTGATGGATTCAAATTGGAATTTTGCATCATGTACATGTATGCATGTAAATTTGCCAAATGTACACATGTATGTTGGTCAAGGGCAAATCCAAATTTCGGGATTTCTGTTTATTGATGTACAAAGCCTGTCATTGGGTGATTAGGCACAACCCAATCACTGTTTTAGAATTTTTTTTTTCCCCTGTACTATACCTGTACAGGTGTAAGTAGATCTCAACGACTTTTCTTCAAACCGGTACATGATTTGTAAACTTGGAACTTGGAACGATCATCGACCTTGATCTGGTGTGCATACGTGTATTACTGTGACATCATCATGACATCATCATGTATCAGATTGCAAATGATTTTAGTTCAAAAAGAGACCAACTTCTTTTCACATACATACATACATGTGTAACTAATTAGTAAATATGTTGCATATTCACAATTGAACTGGGCAATGTCCATTGAAATACCGGGGGTAGTTGCCTGCCCGATCATTTTGTTTGTAACAAAAACAAATGCAAATGTCTAGTTTGCATTATTATTGATCATGAAATTACATGCACAAAACAGTTCAATTCGTTATCATTTTTTTAAATTTTTAATGTTTTAAATTCTTATTTATTTATTTATATATTTTTTGGTTGAATATGTTTACAGATCCACCAAAGGAGAAGGTTTTCAAAGTCCGGGAAAATGCAATGCGAAAGAGGCGCGGGGCGGTGCGACGGAGGGTACACCAAATCAACGGGCACAAATTCATGGCAACATTTTTGCGACAACCAACGTACTGTTCACATTGTAAGGATTTTATCTGGTAAGTGAACATTTTGCTCCTTTTAAATGAAAGTTTTAAATTTCAGAAATCTTATAAACATTAATTATTTACATACAGAGAGCCGACCATGGTTTCTCACATGGAGGCTGCTTGAGACGGTGACCTGATATTTTTGCTCAACGTCATTTGAACATTTATATGAAATATTTTTAGTCCAAAGCTTTCATTCACTAGATTATACAGCATGGTGCAAAAAGAAGGAAACCCACTTTTGACAGGAATTTTACCCTACTTACTCGGCTTATTTGAACTGTTTTTTTTTTTATAATGTAGTGAAGTATAGCTCTTCAACCATGCGTGGTGAAAAGAAATCTTTTAAAAAAATTGTGTTATTATGTTATTATGCTAATTTGAATACAAGTCACCAAAATCACTGTTGTCCACGTGTAAGTCTAGTGCAGTGTTTTTTGTCTTCAAATCAAGCTCCGGAGCTCAGTCAAGCGGATGGAATAAAGCCGTCCGTGGACAAACAGGCTGGGCACGTGAAATTTTTAACTACCATATCTCAGAGACAAAATGTGCATTTGCAATCATTTTTTCGTCACTTATGTTTAAAGATCAAATTTTTAATACCATTAAATTGAAATTTGCTGTCAAAAATGGTTTCCTACTTTTAGCACCACCCTGTACATGTACATGAACATGTAGCCTACCGTATGTACATGTACATCGTGTTGTTACAATGTATATACTGCCAGCAAGTCACCTTGCTTTGTGGAGAAACTGTACCATCTGATACAAGTACAGACAATGGTACACCGTTCGTTTCGCCAATCTGCATGTACCGGTATATTATACCTTGTGTGATTATTGATTAACAATTAAATCAACGGCTCCAGTTCATTCAACCCATTTTAATCATCAAATTTGTCTGGTGCAAATACCGGTACGGTCCGGCAGCTTTGCAGCGCGCGCGCGCGCACAGGTGTGATAAATCTTGCTGTCAAATATCGCCGTGGCTACCGAACCCAGCAGTGGGGCGGGCAACGCCGACAATGGATGTCACGGCGGTTATATTAACGGCAGCAGCAATGGGTCGCCCACACTGACTAAGCAGTTACCGTGGCAACTGCACTGAAGCATCTTAAATCTGGGTTAATGTATAATGCAAGGATGTGGCACCGGTCTTGGAGGCGGGGACCTGGCTACAATGCCATTAGTACTGAATTATTAGCCGTGGCTCCGACACCACTCCACCCTCCCACAGTGAATTTTCACGGGAGATATTTTGTTTCAGTTGGAGGGGCGAATGCAAACCTGATTTCCACAGATTGTTCCCTCGTAACTGAATTAGGCAAGGATTTCCCCTTCAGCAATTTGCGGCCGGAGGAGATCCCCAGAATGCCCTTGTTGCTTTACGTGAGCTATAAACATTTGCAGAACGCAGACATCTAGGCAAAGTTTGAGCGAGATTAATTGAGCGAAAAGACAAGATTTTATGGGGAAAAACAGAGACTTTGTAAATATGTTGAATTAACATGTACATACCTACATGTACATGTTAGCTCAGGAGTTTTCTTAATTTTTTTATTACAGCAGTACATGTATGTTCACTTTTATTACTCCAGTTGTGCATGTACAATGTACATGTATATATTCTACATGTAAGGACAGCCAAAAAAAAATTCTGCTTCTGATTACATGGCATTTGAAAATAGGATAGGTACCGTAGGTAGGTAAACTTGTTGTTGTTGGGGGTTTTTTTTTGGGGGGGGGGGCAGTTTTTTTGTGTACGATCATATGGAGGCGTCTGCGTGTAGTCAAGGGCAAAAGGTGGTAATTGATGATTTTCAGGTTTTTTTCCTCATTTTCCACCAAAATAAAACTAGGATAGGGCTGTCTAAATAGGGTAGGTAGGGTTACCGGTAGCAGAACTATTATGTTTTTGGCCTTAACTACATGTCCACGAAAAACACTCTGTGGGTTGATTCACTGGTAATATGTACATGTACTGGTATCTTTGTGAAATTGAAGCCCTTATGTAGATTCAGCCGTGTGAATGAATGAACATAGTTTTCCCTGCAAAGTGCCTGTTAAAGAGAGAAATGACATGCTAGTATACATGTATGTTGAATGGTTGAATTTTGTTTTCTTTTGCTTGATGTTTATACAGTCTGCAAGTACTCATGTGAATACTTCGTTTCAAGGAAGTGATCACAAGTGGTCTGCCGAATTTGAAAGAGTTCCAACAGTAAATCCGGGTCACAGAACTATTACTGGTGAACCTTGACTTATCTTGGATGATAAGAGGAAAATGGAAAATGTGTACACGACAATACTGTACATTCAAGATAATGTCTGCTTTTATGCCGTGCACTCATGACATTATGATTTTTGCAACTGTCACGTTGTGTACCGGTAGGCTGTGTGATTCTGTATACATGTAGTACTGTATTGTCCCTTTCTTATTTTGAAACATTAATATTTTTCTCTTTGTTTTCAGGGGTTTTTACATGCAAGGGTATCAGTGTCAAGGTAAGGATACAATGCAGACCGACACTCAAGAGTTCCACTCGCACATTTCTTTTCCATCTCCTCCTGATCCTACTTGAAAACTGACCTTTCTTCCCCTCTATTGACACAACGAGATAATGCCTCTTACGGCGCTGAAAGTTCGTTTTCTTTCCTATAAACTGTGAATCCAGATCAAGAACATTAAGGCCTGTTAATACTCGGCATAAAAACAAACATTAATTTTGTGATGTCACAGCCAGTTTTCGCGCTGCGAATTCGCAGAAGTTGAACACATTTCAACCCCGGCGATTTTTGCAACAAAAGTTTCGTGATGTCAAATTTGCGTCGTTTTTTGCATTCGAGTGAAGTCAAATTTGCTTTGCATACGCGTGAATTACATGTATGTTCGTACAGGCATTGGTTCTTAATACTAAACTGTTTGTCTGACTGGCGCACAGCTTTACCGGTGTTCTAAGCAGTGATACGGGTTTCGTATTAAAAAGGCCGGCGTTTATCTCTGGTTTCGGAATCATGAAACGACTGAGAATAGTTCTATTCCCCCTGGATGAGATGCTAGTCCATCGCAGGTTACTCCCCAGCTAATGCCGGTACCCATTTATACTCCTGGGTGGAGAGAGGCAATTGGGGGTGAAGTGCCTTGCCCGAGGACACAACATATGGCCAGTGGCTGGATTCGAACCCCTGACCCTCTGATCATGAGTCACAAACCCTAACCACTAGGCCACACTCCCTTCCTACCGGTAGTTTTTTACATGTGTATACTAAATTTCAGTAAAATTGTCAAGTGACGATCAAAAATTTTGGGGACGAGGAAGTTGGATTGTTGTTTTTTTCTTGGCTATAACTTAGTTGGTCAAAAAAACAACCCATCTTCCTCATTAAGGGTTAGTCTTCGGCAGTGGCCTGTAAATTGTCTGTAACACTGAAGCAGTCTTACGATGCGTTCTTTTGTTTGTTTGCTTCGTTTCAGTGTGTACAGTGGTGGTGCATAAGCGATGTCATGAGGTCGTAGTCTCACGATGTCCAGGACACAAGGATGACGTAAAAGAGGTAAATCTGCTTTTTATGATGAAACCAACAAGGTTTCGCTGGTACCCATCCAACGGCACTGGTGACTACTATAGTCTCTTCCGCAAAATGTTGCGAAGGGAAAATAGGGGGCTACTATGAAAGTGTGTACATGTAGCTCCTTGTCGATGCATATGCTGTATGCATATTTCTGGCACACTCAGAAATAAAAAAAAAGGATACATACAGTCTGTAATCTCAAAGAAATGAATGGTTTCCAGCACCCTTACATGTAGATCAGTGGGCATGGGCAAACCAATTAGTGGAAGGAAACATTTAACAATTGTTGACTGCTGTGATGTGGGATATGGCGTTTTGAATACCTGAGGAGCGCATAGCACCAGATGCAAAGGCAGGGTGCTATTCGCCAAGACGGTGTTATAAAAACAACATATCCCACATCACAGCTGTCAACAATGGGCCTTATTCACGAGTCGGCCATATTGGATTGAGAGTGAGATAAAATCTTGATTTTTGGAACTTGTGTAGAGTAATGAAAGCAAGTTAATTACTAATTAATTCCAGTCTGCTTCAATGAATAATTTCAAATTTGTAATTAAACATTCCCTAATGTTTAAAGCCAGATTTTTTAAAAAATGACCGTAAAATAAGGCTGCATTATGTCTGCATAAATAGCCTGGCGCCATCCCATTCAACAGTTAACAATGAATGAAATACATTCAGGGAACTCGACAAAAATGGCCAACTCGTGAATAAGGCCCATTGTTTTCTTATATCATGCCTAAAAGTCAAAAGATAAAGACTTTGAACTCGGTATGCAAGAAATAGATTGAATCACCGCAGAGTAACCTTTTGATTACTGTGAGCTTTCCTGCCAGACATGAGATTGAGAGGTTGCAGTGCTCTGTTGCGAGGCACGCAGGCCCAACACATGCACTCTTCATGCACACGCGAGGCTGTGTGCGCAAGGCAATTAGTGCAACGCAGTGCATATGAGTTAACATACCAGTATACAGGGTGAGTAAAAAAAAAAGGAAACCCCAAATGTCGGGACTTTTGTTTGATTGAAGTTCTGCATGTAGCACTTTCAAAATCTAGGATATGAAAGCCCAATTCCTAAGCTTTCTTTTAGTACAAGAATCATTCAAATCACTCATGGTCTTTTCAAGTTACGGAATTTTAAACACAACCGCCATTTTAAGGTGGTGTCCACGGATCACAAAAAAGGTGTGCATTCTTTCAGCAAAACAAAAACAATTCACACACATCCCTGTGGTTTCCTTTCGTTTTGCTGAAAGAACACTGAACTTTTTTTGTGATCCGTGGACAGATCCTTTAAACGGTGGTTGTGTTTAAAAATTCCGTAACTTGAAAAGTACATGCGTGATTTGAATGATTCTTGTACTAAAAGAAAGCTTATGAATTTGGCTTTCATATCCTAGATTTTGAAAATGCTACATGCAGAACTTCCTTAAAACAATGGTCCCAACATTTGGGTTTCGGTTTTTTTATATTCACCCTGTATGCAACACAGTGTATACGAGGTACATGTATATGCAACGCAGTGTACACGATGTAAAAACAGTCATTTTTTATAGACTGGACACGTGGCTGTTCTAGACCAATGAAATTGCAGTATCCAGGACGTGATATCAATTTTATATGGTGGAGTTTGCACCATCTCATTACCCTCCCACATTTTGCTATGAATTGCCACCTTGCACCCATGCAAAGATGCTACAAGTCTCAACCCTAACCTTCCCAAATCCTCCAAAATCCTCTTTACAAAATGGAGGATTTTGCAGGATTGAGGCTATATGGCAAAAGTGTGTGGCTGATTTTGGAGGATGCACTGTGTCAAGGTCTTAGGCCGGACCTTGTGTTGTGTATGCCCAGCCGTTCATAAATTTAGGCCTACTGCTTCTTATTCTTGATGAAATCCTACGCACTGCTCCAGGATGTCACTGGCTCTACCTCAACATATTGACAGCGATTGCTGGAGGATTTTGCAGGATTGAGGCAGTGGTCACCCCTCCAAGGACCACATTCAAGAAATAACACAGGATTTTTACAGGATTGAGGCTGTATGCTATTGTTACATGGAGGCAGTTGGAGGATTTTGCAGGCTTGAGGTTGCATCCTAGCAAAAATGCCTAGGAAGTTAGGGTTAAAGGGAATGTACAACATTCGCTTTTGCTGCAAGTTTCAGAAATAAATGGATTTGGAGGATTAGTATGTTATAGCAAATATTGTTAAAACGACTTGTTTCACGATTTGGGCTTGTAGATGCTGGAAAAACCAAGAAAACCAATCATGTTCTTGTAGTCTGGTGCCCTGACCCCACTTAAGATGAAACAGAGCAATGTATAACCTTTGCGGAATTGTAAGGTCAGAGAATCAGTCTAGCAGGCTTGTACCCCTTCACAGGTGCGTAATCAATTGCAAAGAAAACGCGGAATAACTAATTATGAAAAATTAGAAGCACTTTTTGAAAAAACAGCCAGTTTTCTCCAACGCTGGTCGGCCGCCCAGCGTTGGAAAAATCCCATTTTTTCTTGAAAATGACAGCACACTAGGAGCCACGATTTTACAGAATGTTTTAGACTGTCATTCCCTAACAATCCAGTAAGGTATTTCGTGATAATTCGATCATTTCGTTTTGTGATGTTTGCAAATGTTGTATCTTCCCTTTAATGCAAGAACGTCTTGCTTGCAACGCGGTACACAAACATGTGCATTGTATAACACTCAGTGCACGGCGTTCGAACATGAAGACGGCCACATTATACTAAAGATGTAATTAAAGCCTAATGGTGTCTTTGAAAGCATCCAGCATACCGTACCTCGCTTGTGCGACCTGTTCTCCATGTAAAAGATCCTCCTCCCACCTCCCAGGGAAATCTAATAGTTTTTTTTTTCTACGCAGTTAATTGCAACCATGTGTTGCACCGTCTGTCCCTGACATTTAAATAAAGAAAAGAAAAAAAAAGAAGGGAAAAAAAACACCCAACATTGTTGAGTTTCAATACTGACAGACTGAAAGCACATTAATTTGTGGTCTATGGCCTGTCAATTGATAGATGCCTTACTCGGGTTGCTCATCATGTAACTACGTGTACCTACATGGCACTCATTGCATTATCAATCATGCATGTTGACAAAAGCCAGGAAACCTTTGTTAAAATTATTAAGATTTTTTATGTTTTTATATTTTTTTTATATTGGCGATGCAAGGCATAAACTGTTCGGCTGGGATTTTTTTATGACTTGTAAACAATATGATATAGTAGAGTGACATGTGACAGGCTACATTGATAATTGTTGCATCCAAATTTGAAGTTGGACCGACCATAGAGCCAGAAAACAGACGGACTGACCAGCCTTATTTCTTTTTTGGAAAAATCCATTTATGCCTTCGGGGGTGCTTTGAATTCTGTACAGCATACATGTACACGTATTGAAAAAAAACTGTAATGAAATGTCTGCGGTAATATTAAACAAAAATACCTGCATTTAAGAAAAAAAACATTTATGGAAAAATACAGGAAAATCGTATGTTGAAAGATACAAAGGCGCAATGTGCCGCTGGCGGCACACCCCTTCACCCAAATTGATGCTTCTCAAGTGGGCAAAGCTACCTGCTGGGAGCACATGTACACGTACATGTACCTCGTGTACACCGTACACGTACTGAAGGCTTACATGTACATGTACATGTACATGTACATGTACATGCATACACATGTACACGGTTGTCCTACATGTACTTGAATGCTTAATGATTTTGTATCGGTAAATATCCAATGTAGCTTTTTGTCTGGAAAAACTGGTGGTTTTGTGTTTTAGAAACAAGTACAAAATAACAAAAACAATCCACAGTTGACACAGAATAATAATGACTTTTTGTATTAACAATATATTATATTTATTGCGAAAATATCCCAGACGGCTGCTAAAATTTGTAAGGCGTGCTGCCTCGTAATTGAATGGGCAGGGGAAACACTGCACAAAATATCATACAAGTTGTTCATCATACCTCTTTATCCAGATAAAAATATGTTCATTTGAGGTTAAAAGGTTTTCCTTCTAATGAAGCCATGTGAACCAAAATGAGTTACATACACAAACCAATGAGGGTTTATTTTAAGGTTTGACAAAATGTATATTACATGTACATTGTACATTGTACATGCCCCTTTTTTGGGAGTTAAACATACATTTACATGCAAATACAGGCGTACATTGGTGATCGTGTAGTGTAGGGCCCCTGTTTTGTTTTGATCAAATTAAGAGTCAAAAAAGTTTTTTATTGCTCAAAAATCACCTTTGCAATCAAAAGCAGACTTTTCTCAATTCTAATGACACCCGTTTTGCAATTTTGAACAGCTTCTTGGGGTAGAAATCATGATTTTCCTGCGCGGTTTGTGCCTTGCGATTCAGCGCGCCGTGCGTGCTCACGGTACATCGCGCGGTGATCGGCATCTTTATTTTCGAGTGGCGTGTTTTCGCCGCGCCGTCATTGTCATGTTACCCCCAAATTTCCCTCAAAAATCAAAACCCTGCCCTGTATCTATGACATACCTGTTTATTGAGAATGTAACCAACTAGTTTGGTCCTTTTAATAATTTTAAAGTGGATTTTGTTCCCTTATAGGAACCAGGCCCTACACTACACGATCGCCCGTACATTTACCTTAAGTCTTCTAACTTTTTTCACAGAGTTTCAAAATTATCTCTCTTTTTCTCATACTATTTCTTCCCTTATCCTTCTACCTTCCAGCAGTCCCAGTCGCAGTCACAGCGCTTCAACATCAACTTGCCACATCGATTTAGCGTTCATAGTTTCAAGAAGCCAACCTTTTGTGACCACTGCGGTTCACTGCTCTACGGCCTACTACGGCAAGGGTTGCAGTGTGAAGGTAGGGAGACACAAAGGGGTGGGGGAGGGGGGGGGGAAGTCAATGAGGGATGAAGTGACATTATCATATGGACAGCCAAATGTGAACTAGAAGGGAGGATTATTGCACTGTTGATACTACTGGGCACATTTGATTTCTTTGATGCAAAAAGAACACACTGTAAGCAAGGCCAAAAAAAAAAAATTTCGGTCTCTGGTCAGACCAAAGTTCCGGAATTGACACAGCCACGCGTTTTTTTTTTTTTTTTCTTTTTTTTTTTTTTTTTTTCAAGCTTGGATTGTACAGACAAGGTGGGGTACTATTTTGCTTTTTTGGTGTCCTCATGTACATTGGTGTCCTCCATAATTTGCCTTGGTGCTTTCGATCATTTGCCTTGGTGCAATTTCCCATTCCTTGTGCTCTTTAGTAAAAAAAAATTGAGGAGGTGCGGCAATAGAGGGCGCTGTTGGAGCTACCGCGGAACATTTTGGAAAAAAAAAAGATTGACGCGCATGATTAAAATCGACGCGCGCGCTGACCAAAGACCGACTTATTTTTTTTTTGGCCTAATACTCATTTTAAACTGGTGTTTTCCAGAGTCGTGCAGAAAGAAATCATTAGAAAGATTTGAGTAAAGTACAGGAATCATTTGATGTTTGAAACGATTAGGGGTAACTACATGTACATGTACATGTAGGTGGGAAAGATCACCTGTGGCAAGTGTTCGGAAGGACGCCACAATTCTGAAGCCTGAGATAAAAATCCACAGCTACATGTTCATGTAGGGACAAAGCTTTAATTGAGGCAATTTCCCCCTCATTTGTAGAGGGCGCTATTTTCAGCGTGCGGCACACTCTAACAGCTGTTGCGCATCAAAGTAAAGCTCTGCTTAACAGATCCTGCGAACTGGAACAGTTTTCTACCAAACGTGCACAAACTAAAACGCTTGTAAAGTTTTATATTAGGTTTTGTCCACCGCCGACGCACATGTATTTATAAACACTGTACATGTGCAATCAGTGTTGTCCGAGGCCTTGCGAGACAAATTCACAAGCTTACTCAGGCGGGACTCGAACCCATGACACCTCCTGCTTACCCCGGTACTAGTGCAGATGTCTTACAATTCAATCACCGAGCTAGCCAGGGTCGGCTGGCCAATATAAAATCGTTGGCGAAGGGCAAAAACCCAATGTAAAATTTACATCATCCCGATGCAAATTCCATGTTATAAAGAGCATGTAAACTTAAATGTGAAGATAGGCAAAGTGTAACATTCCCAATCACATTTATGTAATTGGAAACATCACAGATTGTGTTGTTTGCTTCTTGCTAACTGATACTTCGGTATCGGCAAACCGCAGCATTCTACGTTTGGAATTTCCCTGCAATCACCGATGATCTCATAGTGCAACAGTCACACTGCGTGCCTGCATCAAGATATGTGTGAAATCAAACTGTATTCTAGTCTGCTGACTTTGTTGAAGTGCACCTCGAAGTTGGTACTGACATGTAATTGTTAAGATTTTTTCAACAAAACCGCTTTTCTAGATTCTATGGGCTCCATGCGCGAACTAGAGAGGGCGCTTCTAAGAGTCCGTGGATGGGACACACCGCTTGCGCGTACTGGTTCCCGCGCATATAGCACGAAGTAGGTAGCACGACTTATTTTCATCAGAATGTGCACCAAGCAGCGGTGTCTTCGCGTGAACATCAGGCAGCATGTCCCTCCGAGTGGTCTCCCCCAACTCACCCTTTCTTACCGTTGATCGGGGGTACATTGTACTTGTGCACGGAGCCCATGAGGTTAAATATTATTTCATTTTTTTAAAGCAATATGAATGAAGAGTTGTGACCTGTTCTGTCAACATCAGACTTTTCTGGGCACAAGGTCAAAAATAAGTTTTGCATATTGTTTAAATACCGGTACATTTTCCTTTTAATAGGTGGTTTAATTTTTGAAACCGGTCGGTCATTCCTGGGCAAACTATGCTATTTTAAAGTTCGAAAAGTAGAAAACGGAGAAAATGGCAGTTAAAGTTTGGGGTCTATTTTTAAGACAGGTCTATTTCAAGTGACATTCCTTGAACTGATATACCTTAACAAATCATCCAAAATACTATATTTAGAGTTCAAATTAGGGTTTCAAACTTTTATAGTATATTTTAGACATGTTTAAGGGTACAAATATGCAAAAATTAGAAAATCGACAAAAATCACCCCCACATCGTTTTTTGGCCCTTTCTTAATTTCAACCTTTGCCCAGAAGTGTCTGCTTTTGACAGAACAGGTCACAATTTAATCACATGCAGGAAAATGTATGCCTTCATTGAATTTTTGCAAATTTTAAAATACCTCGTCAGGTTACATGTTACTGACGAACGTATTTCAAGGTACACTACAATATACATACATGCACATGTTTTGTATAACTCTGTTGTTCTTCTTTTTCGTTTTCTTTTCTACAAAACCAGCCTGCAAGATGAATGTCCACAAGAGATGCGACAAGAACGTTGCGCCAAACTGCGGTATCAACCCCAAGAGAATGGCCGAAATCCTATCTGAGATGGGCGTCACTGGCGATAAATTGTCAATACGCAGGAAAAAGGTAACTTGGAAGAAGTCATCCCCTTGCTGGCAGAGGGTTTATTTTTCTAATTTTTATAGGTTTTTTTCTAATTTTTCCACACAAAGTGGCATTACAGGACCTGCAGTTTTCAAATCTTTTAATATTTTTTCCTTAGTTATACAATAAAAGATTGATCCATTATTTACATGTACACCTACTTGACTTGACTTGAATTGCTGACTTAATTCGACGTTGGTTGAAATTTCTTAATCAAAAAACCAAATTTTCTCATTAATTAGTAGAATGAACAATCCTAACCCCCTGAGTTTCAGCATTCCAAATTGAAGATCTTTTTTTAACTCCGATTTACATGTAAAACGGTTATGTTAACCTTTCTGCGACCTCTCTGTATCTTACCGTATCTGATAACGACACATTGCATATTAATAGAATACATGATGGCACTGCACTCTTGGCACTAAAAAGAAAAATGTATATATCAATGGGTTCACATCGACAAATATTTACTCTGCATAATTGAACCATGGTTGAGCTGTGTTTGAATTTCCTATGAAACGGTTGAGGCTGGTTGTGTTGTGTGAACCAATCAAAAACCTTAAAAATGGCTCATCCGTGCTTTTGGTTTGAAGATTAGTGCCAGTACCTCGAAAAATTAAATTTCAAAATGAATTGCTAATCAGTTAGCATTAGATACATGTAAGTTTAGATCATTAAACCATTGTGCACAGAAAATCGACCTACAGTAAGTAACTAGAGAAATTACAGTGCAAGTATTAAATTGGAAGAAGCCTCCCAGGGCTAAACTAATCACACATTGCGCATAAGCACCTTATTTTTGATGACCAAATATAGGCTTTCACGATTCAGGAATACAGTTTTCTTGATAATTCATTTTCAGGAGAAATTTTGTCAATCAGATTTTTGTTTTCCAGCAGAGACGGACATACAGACTTTCATAATTCATGAAGGAATCTCTTTTTTATTTCTTTGGTTCTCATTTTCGACTGACTCTATTTTGGCTCCTGACCTAAGAAAAAGAAAAATGTATTTATTACAGCCGGCCCTGTCTGGAACCCCCACTGACCAAAGAGAATGTATTAATGAAATTTTAAAAAATGAATATTAAATTCAGGCAATCGGGCTCTGTGTTATTTGAAAAGCTATCAGGCATGCAACTTTTTTTATTATTAATATTATTATTATTAATCATTTCTGGTGATGAAACCAAGGGTTCCTTAAAAGCGCCCTAGGCACTGCAGCTCGCAAGCCTGAAGAAACCTTAGGAGAGAAGACAGTGAGAAGAAATTACAGTTTTAGAGGTGGGAGGAAACCCCAGAAGAATATTCTGGGGAAACCCACGGAATATGGTAGGGACTGAAAACCCAATCCACATATTGACCAAGGCGGGATTTGAGCCCGGGTCACAGTGGTGGAAGGCGAGGAAAGTTCCGCTATGCCAACCGCTGATTTCCTTGTTCTTTACTTCACATGAATGCCATTACAAATTGAAAAATACTGTACAAAGTCTTGTTTGATTTGGAGTTTCCTCGTTTTTTCTAAATTCCCAGTTGCATGCCTGAGCTATGGAAAGTAAAAATTGTACTCGAAACACAGTGTATTTCAACCAGCGCAATCCCAGAATATGTGACGGTGTTACCTCTCATCATATCAGGGATTTATTCATGATCATCTCATTGCACTTTTAACAAAACAAGACACAATACGCGCTTGGCATCATTTAAGTCCCAGTCACACATTCACGGTTTGGAGCTACAGATCTCCACGGTTTCATCCTCAGTACATCCATGGTTATCCGTCATCTTCCTTGGGTATTCGTGGAGGGGCTACGGAAGCTTGAAACTGTTCATAACTTCCGTGGTGAACCGTCATGAAAATTAATCCGCAGTGCAACCGTGGGACATCCGTAGGACAACCGTATTTATTTGTAGTGTTATTAGTGGCTATTCGTGCATATTCTTGGAGATTCGTAGCTCATTCGTGGTAGAAATCTCTACGAATGTCCTACGGATATGCCCGGATGTGCTAGGGTTTTGCTAAGGTTGTACTACGAATATCCACGGTTTATTCGTAGGAGAACCTTGTGATGACCAATTCTTAGTAATACTGTCGATATTCTTCACCAATCCATCTGTATTCGTAGAGAAACCGTACGACAGTCGTGGCTATCCGTCCTGAAACCGTAGTGCATTTTTAGAAAGTCAATTTCTCCACGAATCTCGACGGTTCATCGTGATCGATTGGTTCCTGGTAAACCGTGGATATTCGTAGCTCCAACTGTGAATGTGTGACTGGGGCTTTACATGCAATTTAGCCATCTATACAGGTGAACTTGTTTTTGTTCTTCAGATTTTGATTTGTTTTGCCGATCGAACAACCCTACTTCAGAGTAAAAAAATATGAGAGCCATAGAACTAAAAAGGGAGGCCCTAATACAAGACCCATGTTCTCACTCACACACACATAACATGTATCATCATCATTATTCTGAACTTTATGACTTCAGTTTAGCATGTTGCGACCTTTTTGCGTCGTGAATACATGGACCATGTTTATGGAGACATTTTAATAGAAAGTGCCTCGTTATATACGGCCATTAGGATATACAGGGTAGTGCAAAAAGAAGGAAACCCACTTTTGATAGGAATGTTAACCTACTTACCGGTTCTTAACTTATTTGAACTGGTTTTTTTTTTTATAATGTAGTGAAGTATAGTGGTGAAAAAAAAATCTTTTAAAAAATTGCTAGAATAGTGTTATTATGTTAATTTGAATACAAGTCACCAAAATCACCGTTGTCCACGTGTAAGTCTAGTGTAGTGTTTTGTCTTCAAATCATGCTCCGGAGCTCAGTCAAGCGGATGGAATAAAGCCGTCCATGGACAAACAGGTTTGGCACATGACATTTTTAAACTACCATATCTCAGAGACAAAGTATGCTTTTGCAATCATTTTTTTGTCACTTACGGTATGTTTAATGATCACTATTTGAATACCATTAAATTGATTTTTTGAAATATGCTCAGCAAGTAGGTGAAAATTGGGTCTCCTTCTTTTTGTACCACCCTGTACACCATACATCATACAAAAAGTCCTGAAATAGTTACTTTTGTGAGAACATGAAAAAAAGGGAAATTTTCTTGGAGAGATGGCAAAAAATATTTTAAAAACACTTCACTGTACATGTAGGTCAATTTGAAGGTGATTGAGGGGTTTTTTTTTCCAAGTCGCTAGGATCTCAATTTTCCTGTACATATTCACCAAACGCAACGTTGCTTTCTGGAGTTAATCTTTCACAGCGATTGTATTTGCCCAGGATATCCCACCAAAATGTTGCTGATGCTCCCAAGGCCTTGCTTTTTAAGCAGATCCAAAAACAAGCATTAGAGCCTTCTGCTCTGTACTTGAACTACGTGTATGACATTTCTTTTTGCCAAATTGTTTTTTCGAAAATTTAACGGCCATTACGGAAACCTTGTTCTGCCATTGCTTTGAACTGTGTGCAATTAGCAGATGCTGAGTGTGAATATATATATGTTTTCGATTCAATTTTAAACCAAAAACAGCTGTATCTTGACCAACTTTGAATATCTGAACGATAACAAGGAGTAATATGAAATCTTTGCAACTCACTGTGAAAGACGGACTCCAGCAAGTCAACGTACCATTGTTGTCTTAACGTTTCCTTCCCCCCACGATGCCGTATACCTAGGCCTTTGTCAGTGAGTCACCTTCAACCTCGACTAGCGAAGATGCCGAATCCACACCCAAGGAGTCAGGTAACTCGACTGGCCAACAGGACAGAAGTGGCAGACCAGTCCAAGGGCAGGGGACATTTCTCTGATTGCACTCAATCCCAGACAATGCTCTTTCACAGCTCCTTAAATTCCATTTGACGAAAACGGCCATGAAGTTGCTGATAATTGGTTGCAAAACAATGCAGTTCCCTCATTTTAGATTTTTTTGTCATTTGTTCTACAACATATACATGCCACCATCCAAAAAGGCACCGACAGAAATTACAGCATTCCCTCAGAAAATTTTCAATATAATTGGAAGGAAAACAAATCTTGGTCTTGCCAAAAAAATGCTGTTGGCCGATAATTGGGCATTTTCAGTCAAAATCAAAACAGTTGGTTTCACATGTCTTTGGATGCATTTTTAGGGAAATATTTGTTAACTTGTTTTGAAAACTTGTTAGTGCTGTGTGATCCAGTGTTAAATTCACATCCCCAAAAAAAGCATTTCTGATATTGAGTGTGACAGAGAAAACTCCCCTCCTTGCAGTTCTGCCACGCAGTGTGCCAAAAGAGTCGGCCATGGTTGTGATCCGCAGTCCACAAGAAATTGGTTCATTTGCCAGGCGCTTGTGTGCTGCTCTCCACATGCTGCAAAAGTTTCAGATTAGAAAACTGAATTCATCTGGTGAGTTCTTGTGAGGATCATAACACTGGCAGACTCTTACACCGTGCATCTGTGGCCAGGGAAAACAAAAATAACAAGAAATAATGACTAACTTCGTATTTAGATTTCTCAAGTCAGTTTTTTGTTTTCTCCCCACCTTTCCTTTCCCTCGTCTCTTCCCTACCCCCGTGCGTGTGGGTGTTTGTGTGTGTGCGTGTGTCCGACTGGCTACCATGATGCCTATTCGCAAATCTTGTCAACTTTCGGTGTTTTTGGACAATTTTTTTCTTTTCTTTTTTTCTTGTGCATTTTGCTGGAACCCTCCTTGGTTTGTTTGTTTGTTTGTTTTGCGTGTCTTGTGTGTTTGTGTGTTGTTTGCCGACAAATATTATGACCTGCCCAGGCCTCCATCTCGGAATACCCCAAATTGGGTTCCTTGGATGCCTGTGCCTCCTCCTCACGCCCCTCATCCCGGCCCACTTCGCCTCGATCCGCTCCCGCTGAGCTGGCAGGTATGGGTTCAAAATACGCTGTTTTCATTCTAAGTTCAAAATCTTTATTTTATTTTTTTCGTTTCCTTTTTTCTTTGGTGAAATTTTGTTTTGAAACCAATTTTATTTTGCACGTTGGCTGTTGTTCACTGCACCTTGCACAATTTTATGGATTTTTTAAAATTTTATTTATTATATTTTTTGCTTTTGAATGTTTGTCTTACAAAGTGGACTGAGGGCTCATTGCACTGAAAACACGTCGGTTGGATGTTGGTTTTATTTGAACTTAATAATAACGTGGGCGATAAAACTCCCTCCTGTGTCATAGCACTGACATACAGAATGTTTGCTCAAGTTATCTGTGGGGTTTAAGAGAGGCGTAAGTAAATTCTCTCAAAGGACTCGCTGCGATTTCATTAAGGTATTAAGGTAGGGGAAAAGGTATACCCACCATGCTTCACCATGCAGAAAAACACTACAGCTAGAAATCCCAGGTGTTGTACATTGAGATTCCACGGATGTCATGAACACCAAGCTCAGCGGCATTATTTATTCATGTTTTATTTGCTTTGAGCAACCGTTGCCATGGAAATTGCTGGTGTGACTTCAAGAATATTGATTCTTTTTGGGGGGGGGGGGCTCGCGAAAAACCGCGAGCTACTTGAATGCAAAGTAGCTTACCTTCAAGGGACTAGAATTTTTTTCCTCGTTCCGAATTCTTATGATTATGACAAACGAGACAAATTTCAAATGATTTGCATTGCTGCATCTGAAGACTTAAAGGTACCCCGGTAGAGTACATCATTTGTCATTTTGTGCATCTTTTCGTTTGAAGCAACAAAAATGCTCAAAATCTAAAGATGGTGCTTAACAACTAACCTGATGAAGTTTCAGCTCAGCGAATGCTATATATGTGGCACTTAACTTATTTTCCCCTCGCACACAGAAAACTTAAGAAAATCTGTATGTCATGTTGCTACAAGGTGGAGGCTGTGGTGTAAAAACTTGATACAGTTCTTCATTGACTTTATAAATGCACAATTGAAAAATCTAAAAATCTGCACTGAAACCAAACAATTTCTGTGACTTTGAGATGTCACTGTTGAGATGCTTCAACGAGCAAAATTAGTACCTGTACATAAATATACCTTTGCTTTATAAAGTGATATTGGGCAAGCTGTGCAAACTACACAATTAAAACACTAGAGCGCTTCTGTTGTCCTTTGTCTTTTTCGGACACACTTTTGCTGTGTACTGGTGTCAGCTTGCCTTCAATCATTTGATAAATCAGCAGGTATATTCTCAGAAAATTTCAAATAAGCCCACAGTAAAGCCACTGCATCTCAAATTGATATCAATTTTTAATTTTTTCATTTGGATTAACTGCAAATTTTGGCCGGTGTGCATGATCGTCATTATTTTAACCGACCCCGGAAGTGGATTTTCAGCACATTCCAAACCCAATTTTTTGTAAAAATTTGCAATTCCTTGCTGCATGGCATGTTGAGTCTCTGTTCCTGCAACTGTGTGGATGCTCTTTGGATTTGAGTTTTGTTTGTTTGTTTGTTTTTTCCCTCGCTTATTTTGATTTTGGTGGCTGCTCATTTGTTTTCATGTCTTGTTTGCATTTTTTTGGTCAGGTGTTCCCAAGCTTGTTATTGTTAGCAACGACTTGAATGCAGGTGAATTTTGTTTGTTTTCATTTTTTTTTACTTTTAAGGGAGGCATTCATGCTTTTAATGATGCAAAAATGCAAACATGATTGCGGATTTTCATGTTACGCTGTTAACATTAAAAAAAAAATGCACAAGAAACTGGCATGAATATGGTATGTGATTAGCTGAGGAAAAAAAGAAACAATAAACCAATTAGTACATGTACCACATTAATCTGATTCACTGTGCCCTCTGGAGACATGCACACAATAGGGAACAAAAGATTGTATACGTCTCCACAGGCAATTTCTATAGATGAATACGTCTCCACAAGGTTTTCACGAAATAGATATATGGATTTTACTCAAAAACTAGGAATTTCTAAGGTGGGTTGATCCGTCGCAAAAGGAAGAGTTTTAAAAAAGGGATGTAAAGTCCGAATTTCAGCCAAGGAAATTAATTCAGGTTAAAATAAGAGCATTTTGAAACTACACTTTCAAACTCATAAACTTTACTGCACGAGAACGAAGAAAGGTCTCCACAAGGATACAAATTTCAGTACGTGTATGTGAGTATTACATTGTGTTTATTCACTGAAGAATCAATAAAACCATAGAGTGCTTGGGCGGTTTCGGGCGCTATTAGTACCGTTACAGTGCGTAACGGGCAGGATGGTTTTTGGGGCGCTACAGTCACTAAAGGGTTAATTAACATTTTTTCTTTAAATTCATTTTCATTTGGGAAAGTGTCGGCACTTCTGGTTTTCAAACAAGTTTCATACGGGTGTTACTGTCTGTGAGTGTCACATTGTTGTTGCGTGTCACATTGTTGTTGCTGATACTTTCAGCATAACAATGTTTGTGTTCATTCAGAGTTGAAATTACATGTACTAAGGATGTGACGTGAATACGTTTTAACGAAAATCTGTTTACAAATTTTCCAAAACATTTAAACAAAACCCAAATTCAAAAAAAACGGACCTACATTCACACACGATCTTCCTTTGAGATATACATAGCAGAAATAATTGACTATGTTTTCAATTCCCATTTAGTTTGAAAAACCCTAGAAGCACTGTGTACTTGATGACATTTCGGGTACACGTACCGGTACATGCAGTTAACTTTTTACGTTTTCAATGCCTGCCCGCTAAGTATTGTGTCAATCATTGTTGATCATGTCAATCACGTTGGTCTGCATAATGGGCAGACGTCAGTCTTTGTGAAACAGCTAAAACGTTTAACGTTTTAAACGGTTCTTAAAATATTTGCTAAATGACTACAAAATTAAATGCAGAGTCACATCCTTAACATGTACGGATGTCAACAACAAAGTGAAAGGCAACAATATGAGGCAATTGTTATGTAGTACAATACTACATGAATTGAAATTACACTCCTAAGTTATGTAATTGACATGTTTATCATGCATTACACATACCTAGAACATGCCAGTTTCTGCTTCCAAAAAAAAAAAAACTCTCACCTGATGTACTTTTTTTTTTGTTTTTCAAATTTAACAGCTTAACCCTTTCAGTTGAATTTATCTTTTTTCTCCATGGCAAAGGCTGCCGGTGTGCATGCGCGCGCCTACCTAGCATGTTACGAAATCTGTTATTTGTAAATGTTGCTTGAGGAATGTTTTAATTATTGCAGAGCATGATTCCATCTTTGCTCGGGGAAAATTGATAATTGGACACTAACGATGTTACCCACAAAGAGGAAACCACTGCACTGGCACGGTACAGGGTGGATAAAAAAAAATGAAATTGAGATATTGCTAATTTGAACTGAGGCAGGGCACATGTGAATCAAAGGGAGATATCCTCTGTTAGGGTTGAATCTCCTCTTTAAAATAACACCCTGATCATGTTATTACATTCACGGTTGACTGAGCAGTGACCAATTTTATGAAAGGGTCTTTTCCTGGTGAAATCTCTTCTTTTTTTCCCCCACCTGCATGGGCGTCGCCAGGATTTTTTCTAGAGGGGGGCAAAACATATTTTTGCCCCCCCCCCCCCACCCCATTAAATTTACACCACTATGACTTCGCGCCTCTTTTTCTTTTCTTTTTTCTCTTTTTCTTTTCTTCCTTTTTTTTTTTTTCTTCTTTTTTTCCCAAGTGCCCCCCCTTGCCCCCCCCTCGCGACGCCCATGCCCACCTGCCTTGATTGGCAACCATAGCCTTTCACTCTGTGACAAATGGCACCACAAAAACCACAATTGAAAAGTGGCGCAATTCTCTAAATAGACCCTTTCATAAAATTGGTCACTGCTCAGTCAACCATGAATGTAATGACATGACCAGGGTGTCATTTTAAAAGAGGAGATTCAACCCCAACAGAGGATATCTCCCTTTGATTCACATGTGCCCTACTTCTGTTCCAATTAGCAATAATATCTCAGTTTCAGGTTTTTTTATCCGCCCTGTATAATTATATTTACATAGAACCAGGCAATGATTCTTAAAGTCTGCAATATCTATTTATAAAAAACTAAAAAAAGTTGCAAGGATTTTTTGGAAAGCGTTATCGAAAGGCTGTCATGAACATGAAATCTGCAATGCATCACGCGTCTGATAAGCCTTACTGCATTTGCACATGTATTTCTTCTCCAAAACGCTGGCTTCTGTCTTCACCCTTCTTGTCAGTGTTTTGTCTGCATATCTGTCCTCTGGTGTTTGACTCTGTTTGTCTCACTGTATGGCCTTCACCACATCACCATTATCTTGTTGAGGGTTGGTTATGCGGTTTGAGTAAATCTGCTCCAGTTTAGTATGCATACATGGATGTGTACCGGTACATTTCATCGTTTTTCCCCCACATTGAAGCCCTGTTCATACTCTGCGCGAAAGCGTAAGTGAACGCGAATTTGTGACGTCATGACAAGTATTCACGCTGCGAATTTAGTAAAAAGTTGAACACATTTCAACTCTGGCGAATTTCGCAGGGAATGTTTCATGACGTCAAATTCGCTTCGCATTCGCATGAAGTATGAACCGGGCTTGAGGTTGTGTTCTCTGTGCTGATTTCTGAGTTTCATCCTGAAAACTGGATTCCTTATAAAATTCTAAACCGCTGTTTTTCCAGCGATACAAAAGTTATTCGCTTTTGAATGAGACATCGACCAAACAAAAATCGGCCATGTTTAGTTACTGAAATATTACTGTACAGTTTTGAATTATATGCTGCTCCGTTCATGTGGGGTAGGGTGGTTTCGGCCCCACAATCAGAATCTATAGTGTATGGACCGGGAACCAGTCTGCTCGTACAAGGGGATCCGTCTGTGCCCAAAGCAATTTTTTTTTATTCAGAGGTTTGCAGATGTCAGAAAAAAAGGGGAAAAAAAGGAGGGTTTTTGGGTTGGAATAAATCATACAAGTTGAAAATGTGATAACAGGAAAACAAGAATTGAATTTGTTGAAGAGCACGGGGAACCCAACTTTAAAAAGCCCCTGGCATTTTGTATTGGATGGATTCACTCCTCAATCCTCTCAGACCCTCTCGCTCCCAAAGCTATTAATAATTGACCTATCGCGGTAGAATCGCGTTAGAATCGCGTCAACGCAGCTTGTAAAATATTGTCCAATTACATGATATACACATGGACGCGGAATGTGCAACATCTGAGACAAACAAAACTTAGCGTACCAAAATTCCATAGGGCTGTCTAAGGGGCGTGGCTAAATTGCAAACGGCGATAGGTCAATTGAAAACAGAACAAAACCTTTGCTGATTGCATTTTTTAAATTTGCGTAATCCATAAACATATTGGTTCAAATAAAACTTAAATTGTACCATGGATGTAAAGTTCCATTCAACCCTATCCTGTTCCACAAATACACCCATTTTCCCCCCATGACCTACCCTCTAGTAGTTTGTGTATCACTTGTATTCACGCATTGTAAAACACGGGTGCTTGTGGTGTCATCACTGCTTAACACTTTCAAATGGTGACTGGGTGGGGTGGGGACTTTGGGAGGGAGGGGGGCTGGTGTTTTGTTCCACCCTCCCCCCCCCCACCTCCATTTCATATCACTGCATGAGTAATGAATACGTGTAATCTTGTTGCACAGGTTGGCATACACAAATAATGTTACACTTTTTTGCATTCCTGTGATTATGAGAAATAAAATGCTGAAGAAAGACAATTTTGCATGTGCTGCATTAACAGGCCTTTGCACACCTTTCAAACCTGGGAAGGGTTGGATCCATAGATGTCTAAACCTGAAGGTTTTTGATATTCCAACGTTTCCTAGTTGGATTGGAAATCGGGGTTGAAAAATTAACTGGGGTGGAAAATCTCAATTCAATTTGATCTTTAAAAAAAAAAAAAAAAAAAAAAACACCACATTTTTTAGCCCATATTGAATATGGACGGGGTCCTTAAAAAAGGGTTGGTTATGACGTTTCTGAAACGGCCTTATGTCACACACTGATCGAAATGCAAAAAGAAAAGTTTATTTGCAAAACAAATCTACCTTAGTACACTAACGTTGTACCATTTTGATCAGTTGTTGACACCTTTATTTGTTTTTTTTCCCTTTCTTATTTAAAACCTATTCCCTGGCCCTTTTGGTATAAATTTATTATTATACAATAACTGTTCAATGAGCTGTAGAAAACAAAGGGCTAAATACAAGAAAATACATGGATTTGTAAGTTTGGGCTTTTTAACTATGTTTTCATAACTATCAATAGTTCTGACATCTTTTTTACAAAAAGTTTGAATTCAGTAATAATTGGAATTGTCTAAGTTGGTTTTGTGAAAATTGTATGAAAATAAACTTTTTTTATGAATCTCTATCCAAAAAAAAAAAAAAAACACCTCAATTTTTAGCCATATAATAAACCAAAATTGGTGCTCATATTACGGGGCCGTATCATTAGTCCGACGTCTCATAAGTCCGAAAGTTCGGATTTATGAGGCGTCGGAGCTATGAGGCGTCGGACTTATGCGGCGTCGGACCTATGAAGCGAAACAAATAAATTGTATGCCTCATAAGTCCGACGCCTTATAAGTCCAAAATATGAGGCGTCGGACCTATGAGGCGTCGGACTTATGAGCGGACCCCCCATGTTACTACCCCAGGATAACTTTTACCAGAAGAAGCTTACTTTTTATAAGTTTGGGGATATCATTATTGGGATATTCGGTTTTGCTCCTCAAGACATAACTTTACACAATGTATGTGTTATGAGCACTGTACACTCGGTGCTTTATGGAAAGTTGCAAAAAAAGAAATTATGAATTCACAAGCTTGCTGGGGTGGGACTGGAACCCATAACCTTTTGCTGTTGATGAAGGTCGTAAAGCAACAAAATGCAACTAACCATTTGAATATGCTTCAATGGAGATACTAACCGTTGCAGCATGTTTGCTTTTTTTGTATTCTAATGCACAGCATCTGTTTCAGACTAGGGTTCCAGAGTCGTGCAGAACTAAATTATTCTTAAGATTTTATCTGAAAAGTTAGATTTTGAAACAGATAGGAGAGAATTTTCATAAGATGGAATTTGTGTTGGGGTGATGCAAATTCAATATTGGGTTTTTGCCCTCCACTGACATATTTCATAAACACTGTGTATACTCAGTGTTGTCCAGAGTGATTGTGAGAAAAATTCACAAATGACTTGGGTGGGACTCGAACCCATGACCTCCGGCTTACTAGTGCAGATGTCTTACCACCCTACCACCAAGCTTGCCAGGTACGGCTGACTGGTTCTAATCTGATATAGCAGCGGGTACCGCAACCGAGCTACATGTATTCATAAGATGGAATTTGTGCGGGTGATGATAGACTTTGCTGGAGTATCAACTTTTGCAGTCATTCAGAATAGCTGCAGAATCTACTCAATGGAAAATTAACACATAAAGTTCACTTGTTTAATAGAAAACAAAATCTATTAGACTCTACCCGAGTCACTCCTAATACTATTTGGTAAAGCCTGACTCTAGAACCAGGTCTGAAACGGATGTTACTTATTGTATATAGACGTAGTTTCGGGCAGCAGTCTTTTTTCGAACATGAATATTCATTGGTCTGACCTCCACCAATCAGGCATCACCAAAATCCACGACCTGACAGCAGCTACGGACAAGCTCTCGATGGAGATTGATGACAGCAAGTTGGGCGTGTCCCACCTGGGCTCTTCCGTCCTGCGGACCCCCTCCCTCAAGGAGGAGCTGGAGCGGATACCCAAGCGCAAGTTCAACCTGGAAGACTTCAACTTCATCAAGGTCCTAGGGAAGGGCAGCTTTGGCAAGGTGGGTTGGCCAGGAAAAATGATGGGACAAAATATTTTGCTATCTATTAAGATTTCATTTTCCTTTCTTTTTCTATTCCTATGCTGTAGATATTAGCACTTTTTGATACATGGCATAAAAGTATAGATTTAATCGGGCAAAAGCCCCTTCCTTCCAATCACAAGAAAACTAGTGTGAGTACATGTACACAATAGTCTCTGGCTGTGTTGCAAGAAATCTTGCATGAAAGTCTTGCATGAAATCGATCAAAATGATCCCTGCCAGAGCTTGAAAATGCGATGCCGCAAAATACGACACTGATGGCACATATAGAACACCATACTTTTGGTCAATTTTTGGGACAGACAGACCGACCGACCACCAAGAGACCTGTAGAAGCTCCTGCCAGAGCTTAAAAACTGAAACAAAAAATCAAAACAAAACAATTTTTTCGTTAGTTTTAGCCATAGAGCTATATTAAATTACTAGAGCGTTGACTCATGTACAAAGAGATGCCTGCTGGGCACATCCATATTTTTGCACAAACCTTTGTAAAACTCAAAATTTTGTACGGCTTTTGTACGGCTATTTGCATATCTGCGTTTGTATTCTGTACAGGTGCGTTACCGAAATTGATACGCCTAAAACTGAAACATTTTCAGTTTCATTTTGCTCTGTGCAAACAGCGCAACGTGTGCGCATATCTGTTGCAGATGCTTTTTGCCGTGATGTTTTTTTAACCGTCATGATGTGCTTAAGTTGTTTGCGTATGTTCTACTTGCGCGAAATGTAGAGTACACTATTAAAATTCAATCCATTTCATTGTGTTCCACAAAGACGCCCATGAGTTCAAAATGTCTGCACCCAAAACAGCTTCAAAGCGTCTCCGCCCGCAAGAATAAGGAGTAAGCGCTCTAGTAATTTAATTTAGCTCTATGGCTTTAGCGTATTTGCATTTTTTTGGTATAATAATCAAACCAGAAAAGGCAATGGAGACGACTGTAGTCTACTCGTTCCCTTTCCTTCGTAATTATTTAAAAATTAATAGAAAGAAGGAGTAAGCTTTTCCTGTCAGAAATGCCATCTGGTCAGACAGCCCTTTCTAATTTTGGCACAACCCTTCCCCCCCCCCCAAAACAAATCAACTCCCTCCCCCTCCCCCCCCCCAAAAAAAAATGACATTGGCTTCTGGATCTGCCAGTGAATCAATCCAATTTGCTCATGTTACAGTTATTATTTGTTTATGTAGGTGATGCTCGCGGAGAAGAAGAACAGCGAAGAGGTGTACGCGGTGAAAGTACTGAAGAAGCATGCCATCATACAGGACGATGACGTGGAATGCACCATGACAGAGAAGCGAGTACTGGTTCTAGCCAACAGACACCCCTTCCTGACCTCTCTACATTCCTGCTTCCAAACTGTGGTAAGTGCAGGACCATCGACAGATGGTGTGCGACCTGGGGGAGGCAGGGATGTTGTCGAGTCCATCACAAGTCCAGTCACAAGTCAATCACAAGTAAATACCAAGTCCAGTCACAAGTCCAGTCACAAGTAAATCATAAGTCCATCACAAGCCCAGTCACGGGTAAATCACCAGTCCATCACAAGTCCAGTCCCAAGTAAATCACAAGTCCGCTCAGTCACAAGTCCAGTCACAAGTAAATCATAAGTCCATCACAAGCCCAGTCACAAGTAAATCACAAGTCCAGTCACAAGTCCAGTCACAAGTAAATCATAAGTCCATCACAAGCCCAGTCAAAAGTAAATCACAAGTCCAGTCACAAGTAAATCATAAGTCCATCACAAGCCCAGTCACAGGTAAATTACAAGTCCATTCACAAGTCCAGTCACAAGTAACTCACAAAACCGTCATAAGTCCAGTCACAAGTACATCATAAGTCTTTCACAAGTCCAGTCACTGGTAACAGTGGATGAACACTAACAAAGGAATGCCTTTGTCAAAGCTCATATGAATAGCTTGTGAGTTGAATTGGGACTGCAGGACTTGTGATGGACTTGCAGGGACTTGTGATGGACTCAACTCCATCCCTGGGTGTAAGGGGGGGGGAGAGAGGTCTAAGCCTTGGCTGTGTCTCCAACCTGTGTTTCAAAAAAGACTTCAGCTTCAAGACATTTTAGGCCTTCTGACTTGGGAATATCAGGCTCAATTTCGGTCCTTCTAGAAATTTGGGGTCCACTTTTTTTTCCTGTCCCTGTTACATCTGCAATCTATGAATTTATCATTCTGATGCACTCCTTAATGCAGGCGTCTTCCAAGAGTGATTACGAATAGCAAACTACCTACCCAACAAACAAAATATTGTTTGAGGTCATTCTTAAGGCCAAAAAAAAAAAGTCTCCGGTTTCTGGTATGGAGCTTGCCCAAAAAGTGGTGCGGCGACGCGGCGTTTTTTTTTTTTACCTGATTTTTTTGCTTCAAATGTTGGCTGATGACTGCAAATTGTGCCCGACTAAACTTAGTGCAAATATATGGGAGTCCAGAGAGGCCACATAAAGCTTATTCTCGACCATAACCCAATCTAAAAACACGTTAAAATTGTGCAGCAGCAGGATTCCAGTCAAACCAGTGAGTTTGGCGGTTTTGAGACATCATCTTTCATTGAAAAAAAAACTTTTTCATTTTGCCGATGCGCATGGCTACGGCGACGCGCACGCATACCAGAAACCGGAGACTTTTTTTTTGGCCTAATGATACTAAAACTGAAAAGTATCCAGGTATCAAGGACAGAACGAATTTCTCATTTTGGACCCGAAATTTATAGAAGGAGCCATATGGGTACATTTTCTGCATAGACACAGATGGTGCTATAATATGTAGGTGTTGCGGACAAAAGCTTTTCTGAGACCTTTGAGATCTCTCATTTTTAAGCAACTCAAATTTTCTCCAAAACAATGTTGAAGAACTTGTATAAAAAGGGTTTCATTATTCATTGAAAGTAAACAAATATGTATATACTTTGAGTGAACATTTGTCTTCATGTAAAAACCTTTTTAGGGTTCAGAATCTCACTGACACCTTGTCAAGAGACCTCTTGATGATCCGTTTAATGTTTATATTTTAAATCCTACTTTGACTTGAAAACAGTCAGACTGTTTTAACTCTTCAAAGGCGCACGCCTATTTCTGTAACCCTATTGGTCGAAAGAAGCCCGGAGTGTGTACCTACTACCTAACTGCGACTCATGCAAGCCTGGTACCACCTCAGAAAATGGCCGTCACCGAATTAGTCTATATTAGCAAGGAGAGAATTTTGCAGGCCATGAAATACTAAACAAAAAGCTTGAAAATCCCTGTGTAGAGTCCTAAATGTTACTGCCTCTTCAAAAGCCAGCAGAGTGAGTGTTGTTTTTTGAGAGTACAGGATTTGAAGGTGTGATAAAAAATTCACACGCGACATTTCTGGAATTTGCCTCCCACTTTTTACTCAGTAATCCAGCATTACCCTTTCAAGCTTCACACCTGTAGATTTTTTTATTTTTATATATTTTTTTTAAATCATGAAGAACCAACGGTCCACCAGATGTAAATTTTTTGTTGTTGTTTTTTAAATCCACATCACAGCAGTCACTAATTTTTAACTATATCATTGTTTGGAATTGCAGGACCGACTGTACTTTGTCATGGAATATGTCAACGGTGGGGACCTGATGTTCCAAATCCAGAGGGCCAGGAAGTTCAACGAACCCCGAGCGAAATTCTACGCAGCTGAAGTAATCCTTGCACTACAATTCCTGCACCGGCACGGTGTTATATATAGGTCAGTCCCGACTGGTTTGGGTTCGTTTCTCACCGTGCGCGTGACCAAGTTTGATTGGGGGACCGTGGTCACCTGACCAAAAGTCATGAACCAATCGGGGCCGCAGTTTGGTGGCCCTTGATCTGGGGCATGTTTCTGACGTCACAGCCATGTCGTGAAACATGTTTCCAGTGCACCGTGAAAAATGCCTGCCCCACTTTTTGTGACGACTCTTTGTGTGGTGAGCAGACCATCATGACTGCGATAGGAAGACGAATATTTTAGTCAATTTTACAGGATTTACAAGCAACAGTTGGGCAGTTACTTTTCCAGTATTTTCCCTAAGCAAAGTACTAATTGTTATGTATCAAATACCCAACCGACTGTTTACATCCTTTTGTGGTAACAACGTAACATCGTCTGCTATTTAACGGTACCCGTTGCTAAATGTACATCAGATTCGATCCAGCCAACCGATCCCGTTAGCTCGCTGGTCGAGTGGTAAGACGTCTGCACTAGATAGCAGAAGGTCGTGGGTTCGAGTCCCACCCGAGTGATTTTTTTCCAACTTTCTCTCAGGAGGCAACGCACTGAGTATACAGTTTTATACATCAGTGTCGGTGAAGGGCAATACCTTATATTGATTTGCTATTGACTTGTTTACCTTTCTGCCATCTTGAAATGTAAGTGAATCGATCGCAAGTCTCGGTTCAAATTTTGGTCGGAACAATGACGTCATTTCAGTGTAACTGAAGCGCCAGAAACATGTTTACGGTCACGGCGCCAAAACGCGGCCCAAGCAACGCCCACTGTTTCGTTAACAGGGTGGAAGTATTTAGCTTGAGTCAATTCGATTCACAAATATTTGAACACTATACCATAAATAAACACAAGAGAGAAAGTCATTTTTGGGCTTTTTTAATTTTACATTCGGACTACTACATGTGGTGACACCACATTTGACTCTTAATGAAAATAAAAAGGGGGTGCCAACTGATCGCCATCCAACTAATGGAGACACTGATGAAACCACGTATGTGTGTGTATACATGTACATTATTGGCAAACATACTATATGTGACGTGAACAAAAACGGCGTAAGTCATTGCAAATATTTTTTGCAAAGTTTTGCTTTTATTTTTGGGGCTCGAGTCTTATTAGCCTTCCTCGAGTCGAGTCGAGTCAATCTGATGAGGGACTCGAGTCGAATCGAGTCATTTGCTCGCAGTGACTCGAGTCGAGTCGAGTCATTTACCCGTCGGGAGTCAAGTCGAGTCACCAGAAATTGTGACTCGAGTCAGACTCGACTCAAGTCATTGACTCGAGTCATTACAACTCTGATATTTGATAAAAATATAAAGGCAAGTACATGAAGATGAAGCGTTCAATGTTCAGCCTTGGCTTTCTTTTCTGTGCATCGCAGAGATTTAAAATTAGACAACATCTTGTTAGACATGGAGGGCCATTGTAAGCTTGCCGACTTTGGTATGTGCAAGGAGGGCATCATGAACGGGAGAACAACGGCAACATTCTGCGGCACACCGGACTACATTGCACCAGAGGTAATATGGAGTCATGGCTTTGGCTGTGGCTGTGTCAGTAACACACGGGTCTAATGGGAGTGGATGCAGCCGCTTCCATCGGTGCGTGTGTAATTGCTAGCTGTAGCCAACGGTATGTGGACTCATGGCTTTGGCTATGGCTGTGTCGGTAACACACGGGTCTAGTGGAAGTGGATGCAGCCGCTTCCATAGGTGCGTGTGTAATTGCTAGCCGTAGCCAACGGTATGTGGAGTCATGGCTTTGGCTGTGGCTGTGTCGGTAACACACGGGTCTAATGGAAGTTGATGCAGCCGCTTCCATAGGTGCGTGTGTAATTGCTAGCCGTATCCAAGTAATTTGGTCACAGCCACAAAAAGGCTTGGCTTAGCTGATCTCTACGTCTGTTAAGCAGATTCCCAATGTGATTGGCCAGTTCAACATAGGAGTGTACATTATTTTTAAATATTGGATGGATTTGAGGGGGATACAAGAGTGTATTGCACGAGCTAGACGAGTTGCAATATTGTTATAGTGAGTGCAGTATATTTTTGTATCCCCCGAAAAAAAGCCATACAATATTATTATTATTATTTATATTAGGCTGACTAGCTTGATCCGCAAGAACTTAATTTTAGGACACTGCCTTTATTTCTCGAATTTCGTCGAATTATCGCGCTGCTCAAAGCTGCCATAGTGGCTGTTGACAACAGTGCTCGTGTACCTTGCTAGTGCTGTCCGCTGCATCCACGTGCTGCGCACTACGCTCTGTTGACTGCTTGACTGTGACTTTCTGCGCTCTGGATTGTGCGGGAACCAGCGAAAATGCCCGGATGAATGCAATAATAATAATAATATTGCAGTCATCCGGGTACTTTTTACAAAAGCATACGTATATACGTACACTGATTTATTTTTACCACTGGAAGCCTGATACTAATAATAATGGTGTATAATATCTGACTTGCTCTACAAGGTGTCTCCCCCCCCCAAAAAAAAGGTAACCCACAAACGAAGGGATAATTTGATCAAGCTATGAACTTCATGGCTATTATTATGGTTTTATCATAAACTAGGGGCAGTGAGCTTTCCAATGATATCTTGATTGCATTTATCTGCGAGTAGAGTTGGTTGAATTCTCTCCTGTGCAACAAGGGTTCTCCAGTTTTCCTTTCATTTGCTTTCAACACTTTCGATCTGGCTGTGCTCCGTGGTCAGACATGGGTCGTACGGCAGCAGCCTAAGGTACCTTTACATGCCAGCGGCTCGACCACGTTGTAGCTGCATCCCTTCACAATTCAGCTTCTGCTGCGAGTAAGGATGATAACCACCCCCTCCCCCCCCCCACCAGTAAGTAATTGAAGTCCTTTTCTGTTTTGTTTTTCAGATTCTACATGAGCTAGACTACGGACCGTCAGTGGACTGGTGGGCCCTGGGTGTTCTGATGTACGAGATGATGGCAGGTCAACCGCCCTTTGAGGCTGATAACGAGGACGATCTCTTTGACTCTATCCTGCATGACGATGTACTCTACCCTGTCTGGCTCAGCAAGGAAGCAACGTCCATTCTCAAAGCTGTGAGTTGCTGGTTTGATTTTCTTTGTTACATTATTTTGTAGATTAGCGGTACAAATCATGAAGTTTCGACTGTGGATCAGTATACAAATATTGAGTGGCTCAGAGTGGAATGGGAGGAATATTATCGCAAGGTAAAATCTGGACTTTTCCAGTTCATGTGGCGAAGCCGAGTGAACTGGAAAAGTCCAGATTTTACCGAGCGATAATATTCCTCCCATTCCACAATTTAAAGCCACTCAATATTTGTTTTATTTTACTGACATATAGATCCTTGTCATTTGATATATTTGAATTTCTATTTCAATACAAAATTGGTTGAAAATGAGTTTCTCTCTTCCAAACCACCCCTTCACGAAAATGTTTGAACCCAACTCTGTAGCGCTGGCTCTTTGGAACAATACGCGCAACGCTGAATGCGTACACCAGCATGCATTTGCACACAAATACCGCGTCATGGAACAAGGATGATCCTAACTGTCCCATGGGCGAATGGGACTTTTTGAGCCCCGGCGTGAAGGGGAGCAATAACGAATGTCACGTGATGTGAGTTCCACCAATCAAATGACAAGGATCTGTATGTCAGTTATACAAAGTGTCATATTCGACAAAGGCACCAGTCAAATTAGCAGTTCTCCCCAATAGTTATAACTTTCACTATTTCAGCACTCGAGCATCTGTTAGGGCCTGTCACAATTCAAATCTGGGACGAGTTCCGGACAAGTTGCGGACATTGTATCAGGTATAAGTTGCAGGATTCTGAACAACTTCCTCACAATATTCCCGCAATGAAGTTATCAGTATTAGTGAGTCAAGCAGTTGCTAATGAAAAGTTCCCCGGAACATGTCTGGGACAAATGCAGAGCTTCCTCCTGATGAAGTGAATGATTCTACCCGCAACTTGTCCAGAACTCGTCCCGTATATAAATTGAGACAAGCCCTTACCTATATAATTTAACATGCAGGCTATAACTGTAGTAAAACCACGTAGCAGATTTTGTTCTTACTTTGTATTCCTCTTGGTAGTTAAAAAATCAAGGCAAAACGTTTTCATTTTTGGACTAAAAATTCATTTTCATTGGCCTTGAGATTTTGACGTGATGGGTCTTGCTATACTGAGCAGGTTTGTATTTTTGATAAGTGTTGCATATTGCTGCATGGGTGGGGTGGCTTGTGTGTAAGGCGCTCGCAAATCCTGGCCGCGGATCCTGGCCTGGCTGCGGGTCACATGTGAGAAGAGTTGTGCATTGGTTCTCTCCTGTACCACGAGGGTTTTTCTCCAGGCCCTCCGGTCTTCCTCCTTCCGGAAAAATCAAACACTTTCGATCTCAGGCTGTGCTCCGTGGTCATATATGGGCCTTTACATGCCAGCGGCCGGACCACGTTGTAACCGCGTCCTTCGCAATTCAGCATACCAGCTGCGAGTAAGGATGATTAGCCTCCCAAATTATTTAGTAGGGTTTCTAGCCAGAATACCTTAAGAGGGTTAGGGTTCGTTATTGTGTGCGAGTAAGATCATTTGCAGTACAGCTCCATGCAACATTGTACCTGGGTAATTCAACATCGTGACGTTCTCATGAACTCTGCCTGTTCATTCATTGTGTTGTAGTTCATGGAGAAGAACCCTGCTAAGAGACTGGGTTGTGTGGAGAGCCAAGGCGGAGAGAACGCCATCAGGCAGCACGCCTTCTTCTCCAGCATCTCATGGGAGAAACTGGAAGAGCTCAAAGTGGAACCCCCCTTCAAACCTAAGATAGTGAGTATTGGGGTAGACCTTTCAATAGGGCTCGCTCCTTGACGGCCATCTCTGTAGGAGAACTGCAACTGCGTATTTTACGCAATTAAGCACGCATTGCGCAGTGTTGAAAATGTTCCAAACACGTGCGCTTGTTGCTCAAATAAGTTCAAAATACGACGCAGCCGATGCAGGTTATTGCAAGTTGACGCTCAAAATGCAGATGCCTGGGATGGTCCGTAGGAAATGACGTCACTTGAACAAGACCTATACCCAAGACACCAGGTGATTGGCAGCAATGTCATTCAAGAGGACACAACTCTCCCTATGTCACTATCCAATATGTGATTGTTATTGTATGTGACCTAAATGTGAATAGTTGCACAGTATTTTATGAGAAACATCATATGATGCAGCGGTATGGGCATGAACCCTAGCCTAGGTAAGCACTAGGCTAGGGGTGTGCATGGGATCGGGTACCCAAGTACCCGACCACTGATGTCAGGAACCGGTTCCAGATTATGGGATCGGGTACCCATAACCAACTTTACAAATTACTTAGTAACTTGTCAGACAATGGAAACAAAAGATTTTGAATGCCATTTGTGGAGAATTTTCAAAATGAAAACAGATTTCACATTAATGTGCATTTTAACATACGTGACAGATGACGCTCGCAAAAGTTGCAGTTTACACCGTAAAGCTAAAAAGCCCTTCAAACAACTTCCAAGAGTTGAATTTTGGGGCTGGGTTTCTTTTATGGGTACCAGTGTTTTACTTCAATAGGGTTCCAGTTGCTGTGATCCGTAAATGCACACCACTACATTAGGCACATATCAAATAAACTTGAACTAATTTTTGCCCCTGACTTGATTGCATCTGCAGAAAACGAAAAAGGACGTCAACAATTTTGACGCCGACTTCACGCGGGAGGAGCCCAAGCTGACGCCCATCACGGCCAACATCGTCAAGTCCATCAACCAGAACGAATTCACCGGCTTCACCTACACACGGCCGGACCTGGACCGGCAGCAGCAGACCACCACGGACATCGATTGATCACGGTATGGGGGAGCGTGGTCTGGGTCACTTTAATAGCTTCTTTAACAGCAACAACAAAAAGGCTTGAAAGACGTCATTAGTCTTTAGGAATTGAGATTTCAAAACAGATTTGCATTCTTTTCTCCGATTCGAGTTGAGAGTTTTAGATATCTCTAGTTCAGGGAGTACTGCCTAAGCGCTACAAGAGCGGGCGGTCTGAGACAGACTGATCTCAGTTTCTCGGCAGAAGGAAAGAAGAGTGTCGCCTTCAGTGAGGAAGTACTTGGGACAATCTTCACCTCTTCTCACTTTCAATGACAGAAAAATACTGCTTTTCCCGTCAGGTTGTCTTCAGCGTCTCATCCGGATCCATTAGTATAACCATGATAATTCTCGGTGAGATGAGAAGCCGACGATTTGCCACACAAAAAACGGAGAAAGTACAAACTCCAAAATGAAACTTAAAGCGCTTATAGTCAGGTAGTAGTTATTGCAAAAACATATCAAAAACAAATTTTGAAAAAAACAATAAAGTAAAAAAAAATTTGAAGGGCAAAATGTAATTGACCTATCGCGGTAGAATCGCGTCAACGCAGCTTGTGAAATGTTGTCCAAGTACATGATATACAAGTGGACACTGAACGCGCAAAATCTGAGACAGCAAAACTTTAATACCGTACAAAAACTCCATAAGGTTGTCTAAGGGGCGTGGCTAACTCGCAAACGGCGATAGGTCAATTGCCCACCAACTTATGACAGAAAGCGATGCGAGTCGCTGATGAAAAAATCACAACCCGGGATGATTTTGTCCGGAACAATTCCAGCGAAATTGATCTAACCACACGGCCATGCATTCCTTATATATTTGCCTGCTCTGTGTTACATTCACATGCATAGGCTGTGGTAATAATTGTATTTACATATGTACCATCATAAAATCCTGGTATACAACAGAAAGCCATTCTGTGATGCTGTGGCCAAGTGACATTCAGGCATTTTGACAAATCAGACATTGTCGCAGTTGTTGGATTTAAGAAATTACGCCACTGACCAAGCGGTTTACTTCTGGTTACAGATTAATATGTTTATTCCGTCACCAGCTTTAGATAAGTCTGAATACACTTTTGGAATGTAGTGTTTCATTGACGAATGGAAAATCTCAGTTACAATAATTGGCAGGACGTGGCGTCACGACATGAAAATCACTATCGCAATACAATATCCCAATCAGATATGTTGAACTTCAGACGGAAGACTGTTTCAGATGCCAGAAGTGCACATTTTAGGACATCTTGTAAAGTGCTGTGAGCAACACATTAATGTTTGAAAAAATGTACCTTGAAAATGAAATGTTGAGTGCAAATACAGCAGCTGGAGCAGTTTGGCAGAGTTGGAAAAACTGGAAACATAAAACCCAACACACTAGTGCTGTATGTGGACAACTTATTAGAATGAACATAATAAATGCATGTATGTCAAACGTCAGCCTTAAGAACTGCAGTAAAAGTTCACGATACCTATCGTATTGCGATCTCGGTATCATGATCGGCAGCGTATCATGGAAAAAGCAGTTATGAAATTCTTGAGCCCACAGTCCCGCACATGTCTATGTACATTACTGCATCGTACCCAGCCAAGCGAGTCCATAGAAGTCAACACAACAGGGATGCTTGTCCCCCTTTCTTGAGTTATTCCAGCGTGTCATCACATAAATCAAAATTGTGATGGCCAGTTAGCAGGCATGCAACTTATCCTCGGATCAAGGCCCAATTTCCCCGTGCTGCTAAGCACACAATTTTCTGCTAACAGAGCCTCCATCTATTTCATGGAGACCGTAAGCAGTAAGCACAGCGAAAGGCACGCTAACCTCAGAGGAAAAAAATGCTTAACTTAGTGGCGTAACAATAAAAAACTCCATGCGCGGACCGTTAGCACATACACGCCGCAAAATAGTGCTTAAGGTTAGCAAATTTTTGTGCTATGATTAGCACCAGAGTTTGCTTAGCGGTAGGCAGCGCTATGAAATTGGCCCCAGGTGATTTCATTGTTTTGTTTAACTTCGCTTGTATTTCATTAAAAACTAAATAACACTACAGAGAGTCTTGTAGAGATTAAAATTTTCATTTTTGGGGGGGGGGGTTCCCCAGTTGCATGCCTGCAGTAAGAAAGGACACTCAGGAAAAAGCTGTACTGTCATCACATGCTCCGATAGTTGTTAAAAAAATGCAAATTTTGAAGAAGAAATAATTGTGAAAAACCACATCTGTGTTACACAGCGTACAAATACTTGGCTGTCATGTTTATGTGGCTAAGTACAGTAACCACTCACCATGTTCATCAGTACACTACTTTCATAATTTGTCGTATAACAAACATCACGTACCGCATGTGTACTAAACATACATTACATGTGCACAGACAATCTATTGTTCCCTATTGTGTGCATGTCTCCAGAGGGCACGGTGTATCAGATCTTGTGTATTGCGCTTCAATAAACGCTGACAATGTTTGTACTCTTTACGGATCAAAGGATTGCAAAAATACATACCGTCATTACATTGACTTAAAATGTAACAATTTTGAGGTGTAAATCCTCAATGGCGAAATTTCAACCTTGTGCTTGGTTGAGACTTAGATATATACCTAACTTTTATCCTGTACGCGTAGAATAACTGTGTGAGATATTCTGTGTAGATAATGTAGATTTTGTTTTTGTTTTTTAGAAACGATACTCTCAGAATGTAGGTTTAAGGTTAGAAACGTCTTGCAATGATATTTTTTTTTTTACAAGGCTTGAAAAAGTCTTCAAAACCACACTGTACAAAAACTATGGCCACTCTGAAACCATGTATATAGTATAAAGGTATTGTTATTAGCGAAAAAGAAAATATGTAAGATTTGTCAGTGTATTATTCTTATTATGACAGTTTAGCTGCAACTCACGATAAAACCTTGTATAAAATAAACTTTTTTTTTTTTTTTTGGTTTTTTTTTTGTAACCGGGGACTACCATTTGTCGGAATGTGCAATCTGCATTACGTGTTAAAAAGTGTTTTTACAGTCGTGAGGAGTGGAGTGGACGAACCGTGTAATCATTGAGAAAAAAAATTGCCGAATCAGAAACGTGCCTGGGATTTTTTTTAGTGAGTATGTGCAATGAATGGTGGCGATAGGTCACATGGTGTAGCAAAAAAAACAGGTCTGAACCCCAAATGTCTTGATTGAATACTCCTAATCCTCACATCGTGGTTCAAGAATGATTATTATTTCAGCGTTATTGGGGGTTGTAGTGGATTCGCTACTGCATTTTATGTCATCTAATTGGTGGGTCCTTAATCACATGTCATTGAATTATTTCAACAGGTGGCATACGCCGCCTTTCGTTCGCGGGTTAGGCCAAAAAAAAAAATATGTCGGTCTCTGGTCAGCGCGCGCGTCGATTTTAATCATGCGCGTCAATCTTTTTTTTTTCAAAAATGTTCCGCGGTAGCTCCAACAGTGCCCTCTATTGCCGCACCACCTCAATTTTTTTTTAACAAAGAGTACCAAGGAATGGGAAATTGTACCAAGGCAAATGATCGAAAGCACCAAGGCAAATTATGGAGGACACCAGTGTACATGAGGACACCAAAAAAGCAAAATAGTACCCCACCTTGTCTGTACAATCCAAGCTTGAAGAAAAAAAAAAAAGCCGCGTCGCTGCGTCAATTCTGGAACTTTGGTCTGACCAGAAACCAAATATTTTTTGGGGGGGGCCTTACTCTCCTGCAAAGCGGGCGACTGGTAGCCAAGCTGCCTCCCAGCAAAGTGGATGAGGCAAAGCCTGTTCTGCCCTAACGCTGTATTACGCATACACAAAGAATTGCTCAATTTATAACAGAACTGTTAAAGAGAAACATTTGTGCTGCCACTGGTGTTAGTGTTTCAAAAGCCAATCGATTTTGTCATCTCTGATCAACTGTCTTTGCTATTGAGTTGACCACTGAAGAGCTGAGTCCATTTGTGAAGATTTGTCCACTGCCTTGCCAGATTCAATATAAGTGACATAATTCCTCTTTGCAAATCGAACGAAATTAAAACAGAAATCACAGGCTGGTGTAAGCTGATGCATATAGAAGTACAATGTCAATGGTGCATTACCATTTTCACTACATAGCAGAAATTTGATCTCTAGTGCCCCGCGACGATCGCATGAAGGATTTGTGTACATCTGTGGAAATACTGGTCTCTTTATTATTAAAACTTGCCATTTCGAAAGTAAGAATTGCCTTAATGACACTGAAATCATAGACTTGGAGTAGAACTCAAAAGCTAGGCAGCTTGTCTAAGTTGCCTAGAGCGTTTAGAATTTGTAATGTGCATTGCAATGCTTAGTTGCTGAGTGTTTCACGGATTCACGTTGGACCTCAGTCAAGGTTGCGGTGAAGTCATTTACAAGCCAAATCTCTAGTTGGTTTACAAGAAACCGGGGATAAACAAGTTGTTGAGTTAGTTTAAAGCAATCTAATCCAAATCTGCAATTTTGTTTCTCGTGCAATCAAGAAGAATATGGAACTGTGGTTTGCACAAAAGATTGAACATGAAAAAAAAAAAAACAGTGTGATGCAGTTTAAAGTTTTGAACGTATTTCAGATCAGTTTTACTTCGATGTCACCGGCGCACTCTGTGATTTTTCATGCACTTGGTGAATTTTGTATCCAAAAAAATAGGGAAAATTGTCCAAGCTTGATGTAAATGTGCATGTAGCTGAAATTGCCGAACTTGCTTATTGGTGGATAGGCTCTTAAAATAAAAGACCCTTGGTACCAGACTTGGCAGTGATGTAGTGTCAGTTTTGTTGGAAGTGTAGGGAAGAAGTGGCTTTTTTAATGGGAGGACCTGATCGGTTTCGAAGGCTGTAAACTGGTCAAACACAAACCTGCTGTGGACTTTCAAAGACTTTTTTTTTCTAGTAAATTAGTATGGTTGTTCAAAAGTAATATGTATTAATGACTTCCGGTGATAATGTGCACCTGATCTGTATGTTACATGCCAGATCGCGTAGATCATGTCCAACGTGACAACTGTCATTTCAAAAAAATTATTTAAAAAAAAAAAACTGAAAAAAGACATTAACCTTTATAATAATGAATCAGATAATCTGAAGACAAACTGAGGCTGTTTTTATTTATTCCGTTACTTTGTCAACCTGAGCTTAGTAAAAGTCTGTTTCAAATTACGTATACCTAGTACTGAAATTTGGAGTTTGTCGGTTGAGACTTTGTGAGAATCATGTGAATCAATCAATCTGATCTTTAAAATTTAAAATTTCACCAAATTACCGAATCATTCTGCAAAACGCACATTCGTTTGGTGTCATAACGTGATTGAAACGATCTCATTTTCCCCCCGTATTTAAGAGAATTGATATGACTCATTTCCATTTTAATATTTTGATGAGGGGTATAAAAATAAATTTGGCAAGTAATTTATTTGAGTAAATAACACAGAGGTTCTGTCTGGGGATGTTACTGAAAAACTGTTGATTCATAAAATTCAGTTCTATTATTTACGCTTTTTCATTGAGCTGTTATTGGAGATGGCTTTTCCTGGTGCCTACCAATTTGTAATATGACAGACTCCAAATGGTTACTCAGATTTGAAGCAAATATGATAGTTTTTGTCAATACTCAGCAGTTGATTTTTTTTCTTTATAATCAGAAATGGTATCAAAAACATACAGCTGTTGAATATTGGGGTTTTTTTGTTCCCCCTCCCCCCCATTTTTATGCCTGCGTATTGGAACACACTGCCATGTGTTTTATTGTTTCTAATGTGTGCTATTGTAGATAGGATAGATTTATTTAATAATCATGTCAGCTTTTGCTTTGGAAATGTATCAATGATGACATTGATACTTGGCAGTATAATTTGAGAGAGAAGAGAATGAAGTGTATGCGTGGGTAAGGCTCCAACTTTTAGTCCCCTTATTTTGCCATGTTTTTTACTGACAAGAAGAACACGTTAAAAAAAGAATTCCTGACATGAAAATAATTCATGTCAACAGCCACATTAAAAAAATTGTTTCATTTTTTTGTTTTGCTCTGATTATATAAGGGCCGTCTAAATTCATATTCGGGACGATTTTTGGACAAGTTGCGGACATTGTATCGGGTATAAGTTACAGGATTCTGAACAACTTTCTCACAAACTTCCCGTGATGAAGTTATCAGTGTTGGTGAGTCAAGCAGTTGCTGATGAGAATTTCCCCAGAACAAGTCCGGCGCAAATGGCAGAGCTTTTTCTGGACAAAGTGAATGATTCCACCCGCAACTTGTCCGGAACTCATCCTGAATATGAAGTGAGACAGACCCCAGTGTTCTTTAGAATTACATCTGGAAATTGAGCTGAAGATTTGTACATTGTTATTTATTTATTGTGCAGTATTAGTCAGGAGGCATTTTTCTTTCTTGAATTTCGCAGTCTTTCTGTGTTGTTTTATTTATTTTATAATGGATTGCCTAATCTCGGACGAAAAATAAAACCCACTTTTTCGTCAGCTTAAGGACATGTGAGACTTGTCATTTCTGAAAGACTTAATTGTCAAAACAGAATGTGCGTAAAAACTTAACTTTTATTTGTGTAGAATTAAACAAAAATCAAATTAGTTAATTTAACTGTGTAGATTCAATTGTATGAATCTTATCACAAATTGTAGGCTGTCTTTTGGAAAATATAAAACCCCTTCCATTCCCCAGTGAAACTACCCCTTTGACATTGATCTATATATTTTGGTTTTGAAATTTTTCAGCTTGTACACTAGTTGTCCACCAAAAACATTGACAAGGCTCGAATCTCCCCTTCCCCAAACTAGCCCAATTTAAAATCTAAATTAAAAAAAACAAAAATGCCGTTTAAATTTTGTAATCAGTGAATGTATTAAACTGTAAACTAAACTGCATGTGTAAATGGTTTGTGATTCATGCGGACCACACACAAAACTTGAAATATGATTCTTAGGTGAATAATGTGACTTGCAGTAGTGACTACGCAGTGACTGTTTTGTTTTTGTTTTTTGTTTTTAATTTGTTCATAAAAGAATTAGCCTGTACGTACTTGTACCACTCTGTTTTCTAACTTTACCCAGACTGCCAGGAGAATATCGTATGCATTTTTTTTATATCAGTGATCGAGTGAAAATTCAAGTATCAGTATCAAATCTATAGTATTTTTTGTGTGAAGAGAAAGATTTGTTTCATATTTATGTAATTTGGTTTCAATCATCCTAATCTACTTGATTGGTCAGTGTCTTAAGAGTTGAGACGTCTTCACAAGTAGACAAAAATAATCATGAGTCCTAATCCTAAGGTGATCTATTTTGTTTTTTAACTTGCGGAGCTCAAAAGCACTGAATTTGTAACATTAAGATCTCATTCAACCAATTAATGTTCTTAGATGCAGTAAAATAAAAAAATATTGAACAAGTTTAAAAAGTGCAAATGTATGGTTGAAAGAAAAAACGAAATTCATAAACTCAACATCTTTTGTATTGAAGATAATTTATTTTCTGTATTTTTTTTAATTTTTTTTTTCGTTTTAATACCAAAGGTTACATCTAGGCCTCAATATTTTGGGGGATTTTATCTGAAAGCTCATGTGTGCAAATGGACGAGATTTTTGACAAATTGAATCATTTTAAGGATTATCTACTCCTGAATATTAAAAAAAAAAGGAATTCCGTGGAGTCATTTTTATCCCTTTGTTCAAAATGACTAGCTAGATGGACAATCTTTAAGCTCCTAGCCGTACTTATGTGGTCTAGCTGTCGTTCATGTGGTGAGATTAAACATTAAAAAAAAAATTATAAAAAAAAATTACAGTGTAAAAAAAATAACTTAAAATGTTATTGATAATGTACTGGAGTCTAGAAATTGTTGGATCACATCCTAGTGTATCATACCAGTGATAAAGTGACCGTGGTTCAGATCATTAAAATAAATGTGCACCTTGTATACAATATCAGCTGGTCTTGTCTTCATTGCTGTTGTTGCAATTTCATTTCTATTCTAATTGCTCATGTTAAGTTGAAAGGCATATAGGATCATTTGCTTTTCATGTATTTTGTTCGTTTCCAATAATAACACCATTCAAATCCAAAGAAGAATGCTCAAAACCTAACCTGTTGAAGTTTCAGCTCAGTGCTTTGGCCACAGTAATCCATAGCAGTCATGTATTGCACCTGTTCTCAAGTCAGATTAATGCCACAAAACTATTTCAGAGCTTCCTTTTTTCCAACTAAACCACAATAGATAGTACATGTATTTGGGCTTCAGTCAAACCACAGATGGAGCTCGCATTGTAGTCTTTATTGTTTACTCTGACAGCGCTAGGGATATGTGGTTTTTTTGCCCCCATACCTCTGCACTTAGTGTTTATGCAAATATCTCCAAATAAGAAAGACACACTGCATATCTTGAAAATCCTTATGCATATTTTGACCCAGCACTATAAACACCCTTTGAAAACCCAGTAGGGAGTGGACTTGCTGCTGGGGCGTGGTGGTGGATGGTGGTGTGCATTCTAGCTCCTTATTTTCCAGGTTCCTGTACATGTATAGCTGAAGGTGGAAGTCTAGTTTAGTGTGGCCTTGTTTATGTGCAAGACACTATGTACTTGACTTAGCACCACCACCACCACCACCACCACCACCACCATTACTCCACACCAAAGGGTTCAGTGGTCTGCATAATCTTGTGACTGTGAGTATGTTCCAATTTTACCCCCTTCCACCCAGTAGTTTTTACATTGCCTAGTAGTCTGGTTCCCACGCCAAAAGATTCTGACTATTCCTGATAAATCTTAGTTCAGGTAGCCTTCGGTAATACATTGTATTACAATTTACGTCACATGACTAAAACGGGAGGAATTCCTCCTTTTTCCGAATATATCCGAAGTTTGCCGAGTTCTTTTCGTCGACAATCGGATAGCGCCCAAGTATTTCCGAGTATAATATAGGTTTAATTAACTGCTAATTGCTTATTAAAAACTTTTTAAAATGAGTTGATAATTAATATTCATTGCTTTTATTAAGAAAACTTGAAATTCAACGATGATTTTGTGCATTAAGTATACTCGGATCATATGGGCGAACTTTTTGCTGCGTCATAAACTATTTTGAATTGACGACCGTTACCGAGATTTTCCAAAACTCGGTCTTCATTCGGCTCCGCCTGCTAACAGTGCTATTTGGGTGCCTAATTTTGAAGATTCCAGATCAACATTATAGTCAGTGTAATCTTACAGAAATATCAAACTGTATTATCATTAGTGTATGATATTACGAAGCATTTGATTTATTTACAAATTTGATCAGAGCATTAAAAGCTAAAAGTGATAAAGCCAAATCAGAAACGAAGCCGAGCTTTGAAAAAGGGCCGTCAATGTCGTCATGTTTATTTTTAGCAACAGAGGCTGCCTGACCTACAATTTAGACGTGGGTGTCGGAAATAATTGTCAGGTCTAGGGAACCAGACTAATTGCCTTGTAGACTACGGTGTTCCATCGTAGCGATCCCCAGTCTGCATTCTTAGCTCTGTCAGTAACTACGTCATTTCAACTATATTATTCATATTTGCATGCTCTCCCCTGGTTAGTTATTTAGTAAGCGAAGAAGAGCTAATTATATTCCAATTATTTATATTTTCTGATATTGAAAATACTTGTCCCTTTGTCTGATATTTGTGATCAACATCCATGTATTTTTGATAAGAAACCCCCAACTGACGGTCGGCCTATTTGGGTCGCCGTTACAATACCCTCATTCTGGCCGGACAGAAAACCTTGCCTCCATTCCTCACAAATTCATTCACAATACTCATGCACCCATAGTTGATTATAATGCATTTCTCCATAAATTCTCAGACAATTGGAAACTCCCCCCCCCCCCCCCAGCACACAAATAAAGCATCCCTGCAATATGGCCACTTCCTTTTTTCTGGGGGTGATGCTAGAAAATTAATCTTTAGACACATGTACCAAATCAACATTCTAAAACCACACAAAATTAGGTATTTCTTGGTTTATTCGATATGCCGATATGTACACAAATGTGGCTTTAATCATTGAAGCAAAAGGACCAAGGTTTTAAACACATACACAAGTGTCATATAATCGAGTAAACCACAAGTCCTTTCATAAGACTGAAGGAGTTGTGATGGACTTGCAGGGACTTGCGATGGACTCCACTACAACAATGCAGACAGAGAACCCATTTGCTCTTTGCCATATTGAAACAAAAAACATCGCTTCACTTGCGAAACAAAAGAGTTTTGAGTTGTTCACGCTAGGTGGGTTGACATGGAATGGACTCCGTGCGGAACTGGAGATGCTTTTGGGACCATTTTTTAGAGACCCAGTGGAACACTTTACTTGCATACACTGGTGGTGCAAAGTACTTGTGCACAAACTTGTGCCTTCCATGAGCGTCAGGCTTCGTCGGCAATGCATTCGAATGTCTCTACCAGTGGTCTCCCCCAACTCTCCATTTGTTAACCGTTGAGTGGTACTTGGGCACAGAGTCTGTTACATGAGCATCCATTCATGTAGTCAAAGCTTGCCAGTGCAGAAAGATTACAATCTTCCCTCAACAGAAAATGATACATGTACATGTACTTTCACAAACACAAAACAGTACCTTAGGCCAAAAAAACCCAAAGTCTCCGGTTTCTGGTATGCACGCGCGTCACCGTAGCCATGCGCGTCGGCAAAATTAAGAAGTTTTTTTTTCAATGTAAGATGATGTCTTAAAACCGCCAAACTCACTGGTTTGACTGGAATCCTGCTGCTGCAGAATTTTAACGTGTTTTTAGATGGGGTTCAATCGAGTATAAGCTTTATGTGGCCTCTCTTGGCTCCCATATATTTTCCACTAAATTTAGTTGGGCACCATATGCAGTCATCAGCCGACATTTGAAGAAAAAAAACAGTCAAAAAAAAAAAGCTGCGTCGCCGCACCACTACTGGGGCAAGCTCCATACCAGAAACCGGAGACTTTTTGGGGGGCCCTTAGTTTCCTCTCTTCAGCGACAAACCTCCTGGTATTTTAGGATGCATTGTTTCTTTGACATTACATTTGCTGTCAATTGCAGATGCAGAAACACTGCCGTGAAGATACAAATGAATATCTGGATAATTTTGAGAGTATTACAATTTTCAATGACAATGTCTTAGCGATTGGAGAAATTTGCATCTGAAAAAAATCATCACTTGGTGCTATATGTATATGCTTTAGAGCCGAAAGGGCATTCAAAAGGTTCCAGGTAAGCTCAACCACTGCCGCCACACTTATCAGGCATCGGAGATCAGCTGACATCACGACACATGGCAATTATCCCTCAGTCCGACGATAAATTAAAAATGAAAATCTGACATTTACTATCCGCGTACCACATCAGTCGGAACAAATTTTGAACATTGAGTATTCTAGGTGCGTAATAATAATAATGAATACTTGTATTTCGCTTTTAACTAAGATCAAAGCGGTTTAAATTATTATTTCCCCTGATCATGGGGTAATGAAACATTCCAAAGACCATCTCAGCTCCCTGGGGAGTATACAGCTCGATGCTGTCATTTCGATGCAAAGCAGCTAAAATCAGTCACAATAACCATCTCTGCCCTCACAGGTACCCATTTACTCCTGGGTAGAGTGGAGCAATGAGTGACAAAGTGCCATGCCCAAGGACACGCGCACCATGACCCTAGGCTGGACTCGAAACCCACAACCTGCAGAATTATCCCACAGACTGTGAGCTCAATGCTTCAGACCACGAGGCCACGGCGCTCAACATGTGGCAGCTCCAACTAGATTTGTCCAAGCTGCATCTTATCTAATGTAACCGTTTGCAACACTGTGGCACTGTTCTAAACCCAGCAGAGGGAACGCCTATCTCTCTCCGCCCTCATCTCCTCCTTCTTCATCCGCCCCCTCATCATCACTAAGCCCCGCCCCTTCCTCCTCTTCATCAGTCTCGGAGTAGTAATAGGTCACCGAGGGGCGATTGGTGTTGACAAACAAGTCATCGTCATTATCGCTGTCGCTTTCGTAGTCATCTTGTTCTGCAGGGCTGGTGGGATCCTCTTCTCCCAGCGTGATCTTAGACACATCCTTGGTGATCGTATCCAGGTCCAGATTGTTGACCGCGTGTGCAATGTCCGACTCCCCACTGGGCGGTTTGCTTGCAAACTCATCTGGCCTGGTGGATGCAAAGGAATACACATATGGGTCATTCTATCAATTTTGGCCCAAAGCGTGACATTTTTCCTGTCCCTGTTACCTCGGAACTTTGTAATTTGCCATTCAATTGTCATTAAAAAGATTTTTTTTGGGGGGGGGGGTGGTAGGTCGTTTGCCTTAGATAATCACTCTTGGAGGAAGAATACATTAACCCTAACGATCCCAACCAGCCAAACTCCAACACCAGGGATTGTTGGGATCTGTAAGGACAAGTACTGCACTAGTAAACTGACTGTGCTTTAGGTGGGATTAGGCATACCACAAACAAACAGGGTCCATGGTGTTGGGATTTGCAAGGATGAGGAAGGTTCCTAATAAACCACCCTAGGGAGTTAGGGTTAAAGAGGCATTTCCCGTGTTATTTTTGAGTTACACTGATAGTTATTGAATTATTTCTTCACAAAATTCAAATTATTGGCTGCCAGACAATAAGTTGGCTTTCGCAGGGCAGGTTCAGTTGTGTGCAAAATGAAAGCCATTTCACAGAGGGTTGCAGATGCCCAAACTTGGGATAAAGACGATTCTCTTGCTCGTTAAAACACAACATACAAATTTAAAACTAAAATTGAGGAAAGATATTTACCACAGTCCCTCCTTTTGAATATATTTGATCTGCTTTGGGTACAGGATGGTCGCTATCTCAGCCTTGACTTTATCCCCTTCCAGAATGGGGTCTACAATCACGAAGTCACCTGAAAGAAAACATCAGATCGGCATCAGAACTAACAGACCGTCAAAAGAGTAATTTTCCTTTTTACCAATTTAATATTTAGTATAGACTTAGATGATCCAAACAAGAATGCCCAGGGATTCAGTGTTAATGAATCCTTTTATGTGACCGGTTCCACAAAAAAGGGTATTATGTAGCAAAAAAGTGAAATTTTAATATACATGGTTGGAAAACCAACAATGTAAGCTTTCATTTGGCATATAATAGAGCTCCATAGCCCCTCCCGTTCTGGAGATGTGACGTATTTGCATATTAATTACTTCCTTGGATTTTAAATTACACAACTGAGAAAACAGGCTTTGAAATAGCTGGCTTTGTTGTAGAACAACAGAACGATGCACACAAAATGGTTGTTTTTTCCCACTTATCGAAATTCACGATAAAATATGAAAATTAAATTTTTACCCTCTCAATGTTGAGCAGGCCATTACACAATAATGCACAGCGCGACTTAATACCTTTTTTTTTGGAGCCGGTCACATATTTTAATGCTCCATACCTCTTTTAATCCAGACGTTTTTGCGAAACCTGGTCGGCATGCTGACCAGAAACTGTTCCCCTGTCGCAGTCTGTACCTCATGAAGGTTGTTACCCCTGCTTGCGGTCACCTTTTATGACAAAGTCATAGACAAGTGCATTAAACTAAATACCACGCACAAAATGCTTTTTCACTACTAAAAGCATGACATTTATACTTAAAGGTCACTGAATGGCTGACATAGAGACTGGTTGGTGCATTTCTTTTCTTTTTCACACAATATTTTAGTGCATAAGTGTATTATGTGGAATTGAATGAACATATACATGCTTAATGACACCTACATTTTGCAATATGATTTTTATTTAAAGTTTCAGAAAAAAAACTTTCAAAGATGACTCTTCTATGTTTGACTTTCTTTCTTTTTTAATTTGAAGTGAAAAAATTTCGGATCAACTTTGTCTGAAGACACTGAAACAAAGACGTTTTATTTCCACTACAGGACCCTCCTATTGCATTGTGAACCTTGTCATTACTTGGGTCAATATTGGTCAAGACCCCCATCGGTTTGTACACAGTATACCAGGAGGTGAGGAAGAAAATTTTGACCGTTTGTGACCTCTTAAATAGTATGACGGTTAAGTTTATTTTGTTTTCTTTGTCTTCCAATGGTGAGGGAAAAATTCCTATTGATGATGAAAATCCACCTTCAATAACAAATGTTCTTCTGATCTGCCGATGAAATAGCGGTGAAGAAAAATGGCAATGGTTAAATCAACAACAATATTACCATCTGTGTGATACACTGAATTCCTATAGACCAAAAGATTTCCGGGACAGTTTCTACGAGTGGCGGGAGAAATTGGAGATTCAAAATCCGCTTTTATATCCTCATTTTTTTCAAGCCGAGTAACAGTGTCTGAGTTCACGGAACTTTCCAGTCAGCTCAGTCAAACCAACAAAATGTGACGATTGAGGTGCTGCATGCTATGCCCTACATGATGATTGAGAATGGTTTACAGAAATCAATGACCACTGGGCCTTTCAAAAAACACTCCAAGAGCTGTAAACGGGTGGGAACTCTCTGATCAGTCAATTAATGATCCAAGAAGACCACAAGTGAGTGAAAGTGTTTACAATCAGAGACCATTAACCCAAACCATCCCAAATCCTCCAAAATCCTTTTTGCAAAATGGAGGAATTTGCAGGATTGAGGTTACATGGCAAGAGTGTGTTGCTGATTTCGGAGTACGCACTGTGTCAAGGTCTTGGGCCGGACCTTGTGTTGTTTATGCTCAGCCGTGCATAAATTTAGTCATTGATTATACTTGAAATCCTCCGCACTGCTCCAGGATGTCACTGCCTCTGCCTCAGCCTATTGACACTCATAGCCGGAGGATTTTGCAGGATTCAGGCAGTGGTCACCCCTCCATGGACCATATTCAAGAAACAACGGAGGAATTTGCAGGATTGAGGCTATATGGTATTTTTCCATGAGGCCAATTGGAGGATTTTGCAGGATTGAGGCTACATCCTAGCAAAAAGGCCTAGGGAGTTAGGGTTAATCGAATTTTGGGGAAGTTCCATACGTTTCCTTTAGCTTTTGTCGCCCGAAAAAAACAGGAGGCTTAAATTTTTTAAATGTTGATTTCAAACATCCAGTTCCCATAATTGAACCCGAATAGTGAAATTCAAACCGAATTTTAAAAATCCGGATTTTAATACCACCACTGCTTTTTACAAACCTTAACAATCTGCTGATGATCTTCGGGTAGAGTGTACTCATCCAGAACCTCCCTGGTCACGTGTTTTCGCTTGGTTGCCTTGGACATGATGGCCTGCACCGTTGGTCCTCTGATGAAGACACCCCCTGCTTTAAGAAAAGTGCTGGTGATGTCTGTGGCCTTAAGATCTGGGAGTTGTTACTGTACAGCACTTCCACCTAATTGTCAATCACAAACATAGGCTTCAGAACAGGGTTGTAATATAATTACAAGAAGAGGGTTGTAACATAATTAATATTATTTTAGAGTAGAATAAGATGCAAACACTGCTGGGACAAACTGATCTAGCAGAATCAATGCCAGCAGTGGTATTGTTTATGGAAAAATGACTGCAATGTTTTTTATTTCCAGATCGTAGGACAATCATGCAATTTTGACCAACATGTATTTTAGTTTTCCTGGTTATTTACCAGGTACAAATTAAAATAGGTTCCATGGCGAATATCAAGTCTTAAAGCCAGTGTACATTTCAAATTCAAGAAACACAATTTTTCAGGATATTTAAGCAGGAAAGAATTCAATGCCTGGACATCATGCATTTGACACCCTGTGCACAAACCCTACGAGACTTGTCTGAAAAATGCAAAGTGTTTTCTCAGTAAATCATGATTTAATATTTTGCCTGCTAAATTTGACTTTTTACGACATGTTATCGCTTTCTGATGGTTGATAGGTCATTGCAGATGCAGGGGAAATAAGTGATGGATAGGCCTATGGATTTCTTTTAGAATTCCATTTTTAGAATTCCGTTTTTAGAATTCCATTTTTAGAATTCCTTTTTAGAATTCCTTTTTGAGGCTGCCTCCTTTTTTTTTTGGAAAAAAAACCGGAAAAATGATAAATTTTAAACAATGACATAATTTTGGCGTCTTTTTTCCTTCCTTTTTTTCTGAAAAAGACAGGACGTTTAACAACATGTTTTTTTTTTTTTATTTGGCCCAACTCGGACTCTATGAATTGCCTTTTTTTAACATTTGGACATGGTTAGGTGCGCTGAATCGCACGGCACCAACCAACCATTGCCAACCATAAAGCGCGTAGGAAAATCGTAATTTCTACCCCAAGATAGGCAAGAAACTGTTCAAAAATTACAAAAAAAAGTGACATTATATTGAGAGAAGTCTGCTTTACATGTAAAAGGTCTTTTTTTTTAGTAATAAAAAACACCCTTGACTCTAATTTGATCGAAACTAAACAGGGGCCCTACACTACACGATCGCCGTACACAGTCTTGACTTACGTCTCAGATAAACACCGTGCGTCGATAGGGCATAGAGTGCCAGTGTTCCACGCTACTCTACGCCTCGCTATTCAGCCATAATTGCAGCAATGTCAACTTGGTTATGTTGAAAACTGTTTTCCGACCAAAGCGTGAAATGAAACAGCCGAGGAGAAAGTAAGACACCTTACAAATTTGTGGGACAATTTGCAGTTAGTCGCCATCTCTGCCACAGTAGAAAATTAATGGTTATGCTTGCACAATCATTAGTCTGGCGCCGTCGCCTGGGTCCGGTCCCATGCTGCATACGATGCAGTATATGGGTACCAGTATTCGTTGGCAGCGCCCTCTGTTGTCTTACAACTGCTTGTGGACGAGCTGTGACTGCCTGTGACTCTCGCGTGGAACTTGACGTCCTCTTCTTCCAGTTGAGCGCTAACTTCACAATTGAAGACCACAGCACTTTTGGTAGGGTGAGATTGTGGCAAGACGTTCCAATCCCTCGCAGTGCGAGGAAAGAATGACATAGTCTCGAACTGAGTGAGGAATGCAGTAAGCCGGGGAATTTTCCGGGGTTGCTATGGTTCTTGGAAGACAAATATTTTGAGATATCGAACGGTAGCTTGATGGTTATTTATTTTGTATAGCATAGTCAGCCTTGCAAGCCTGCGTCTCTCACTCAGCCAGAGTCTCAAGCTCTTGCATCATGCCTGTGTCTGTCGAGAGTGAAACCTGCATGGCACAATTGCAAGAAACTGGCAGGTCTTTTTTTTTAGTAATGGGCAGCCCAACGCTGAACCTTTTCCAACTTAGTGATAAGAACATCTGTATATGGATTCCATATTGTGCTACCATATTCCAAGATTGGCCTGACAAGTGATTGTATATGCTTGTTCTTTGACCCGGCTGGAGTTCCTAATATTTAAATTACGACGGATAAAATTGAGAATGTTGCTGGCCTTGGCAGTGATGCATAATTATCCACATGTTTATTCCGTCTGAAGTCGCTGGTGATGGTGACACCAAGATACTTTGTCTGGTCATTGAGCTTTTGGCCGTGGAGGATGTACGGATACTGGATGACATTTCTTTTAAGTGTGATACTGATAACTTCACACACTTTTCCGGATGGAACTCCATCATCCAGGTTTGAATCCGGAGAAGGAATTGTTGCGACTCGGCAATACGACTACATTGTCGTAAAAGTTGGTATTTTAACATTTCTATGCAAAAAAACCCTACACCGAGGGCATGTGTAGAAAATATCGTGCGGTTATCTATTACTCCCGATCACGCTCGATAACTTCGGCAGCGGCCGCAAGCCCCATTAAGAAGACAGCCTGGGATCAAGGTACATGTACCAATTAACTTTTACAACGTGGTAGTCTTCTTCTTCTTCTTCTTCTTCCAAGCTCTGCGCCAACTTCATAACGTTGAAGACTGGGGCACATTGTTGGGTTCGCAACTTGAGGATGGAATGCGTAGACTACTATATTTTGACATTGAAGACCCATTGGTACATGTAGTTAGAATCTGCTTTCTTTGAAGTTTGCAAAGCCTCCACAATAGATTTGGGAAGCTTGTCCCGTTGACTTACAGTGCGGGGGAAGAAAGACATATTCTCTGGAGCAAGACGGGATTTTGTAAGCTTGTGAGTTTTCTGTTCGGGATTAAGTTGGACTCGATTGGCATGTTGACGGCAGCCAAACCACGGTAAATTTTGTAGAACAGTCTTGCTTCTATTGTACGCCTAGGCCTATCTTAGGGTTTGCCACTGCACAGATTTCAGCATTGCTGCAACACTTGACGTCTGATGATAGCGATTCAAAACAAATCTTGCTGCACGCCTCTGCACCATTTCCAGTTGGCTACTAAGATTCTTTGTGTTTAATATACGGATCCTAGACTACTGAGCTGTATTCCATAAGAGACCGAACAAGAGACTTGTATCCTAATTGCTTCATGTGTGAATTGCGGACTTTGAGGTTGCGTCTCAGGAAGTTTAAGGAGGTTGTTGCTTTTGATGCAACATTAATTGTTGATGTGATTGTTCCATTTCAAATCATGCGTGGCGGTGACGCCCAGATATTTGCATGATTGCGCATGTTTGATTTCATGACCGTGAAGAGTGTACTTGTAGACAACAGGTTTTTTTCTTGCGTGTTATGCTGATCACCTCACATTTGTCTGGATTGAATTCCATTTGCCAGGTCTTCTCCCAGGTAGTAGTAAAGGGGTCCGCTCATAAGTCCGACGCCTCATAGATCCAACGCCTGAACTTATGAGGCGTCGGACTTATGAGGCGTTGGACTTATGAGGCATAAAATGTATTTATTCCGCCTCATAGGTCCGACGCCGCATAAGTCCGACGCCTCATAGATCCGACGCCTCGTAAGTCCGAAACAGCGTTTTTCCATTGTCGGACTTATGATCGAGGTGTCGGACCTATAAGGCGTCGGACTTATGATACGGCCCGCCGGTAGTAAACTAGTAAAGGGAGGCTTCACTGGCTGTTGTTATGAAGCCGTGAGGTCTCGCAGTAGTACGAGTTCAACTACCATCATGCACCTTTACAATTTGAAATGGGGACGGTTGAGATCGCAACAACAGCACGGGCTTCCCTTTACCCAGGCCCATCAATCATCGCGGGGAGACGGATATACTGGCCCCGAGTGATCCACTCATCGCACTTACTGGCAGAGGACTTCCACTAGAGCAGTGCGGAAAGTTTCGCCCCAACCGAGCGAGGGAACATGGGCATGATCTTCACTGCCCTTCAACTACAGGAGAAATATATAGAGAGCAAACATATGGACCTCTTCCTGATATTCGTCGACCTTACGCCACAGCTGGGCAAGTTCGCGCAAGATCTATTGTTGACCATTGGTTAACCATAATTATAGTTCGACTATAAGTCTGTATACTGACTGTAAAACTGCAGTACCGGCAACATGTCAAGATAGAAGAGTGCCAGAGGCGAGAATATCAGATCCGTCGATCTACGAGTATATTCAGCAGCCATCTTCGACGGATGTGTGTGCAAAAAAGGTCAACTGCTATTATGCGTATGTGTCCCTGGACAAGTGAGAGATGCAGTCTCTGCCTTCGAGACTAACAGGGACATTGCTGGGACAAGATGAGAGACAGTCAACTGAACCCCAGTCCAAGCCCACCGACCATTTTTTTTTATCTGCAGCCGCTGCACTGTAGGATCTGTCTCTCCTCCCTTTCTAGGTAAAATTGCTTTGCAAATGCTGAAGGCCAGAAATGTTTTGTATTAGGTGTAATAAAATAAAACAACACTTTTGGAACAAAGCTATAAAATAACCCCGAACGTCGTGAAGGGGGAGCAATGGAGGGCACTGCCCCCCCCCCCTTCCTGTGGGAAAAGGGGGACAATGAGGTAGGGAAAAACGGAAACTGAGCAAAGAAGATTGTTAGGTCAATACACCGTTGAAACTGCCTGAAGGCAGTGTAAGGCCGTGTCCGAAACGGGCTTCCAAAGCTACGGCTACGTCTATTGTCAGCGCGTCGGGGCGTATTTTCAATGGGCGCAGACCTAGACCTAGCTCTAGACAACTGATTCGGATGCAGCCTAACAAGAGTTAATGGTCACATGGAACAGCGCCCTCTGTATGTGACCGCAAGTTAGTACGCGCACACTGGAGGTCACGCACACACTCAAGACATAGCTAAGACAAAGGAATTGCAGCCGGGAATAAGATTTAGACAACACTGTTTTAGAGCCTATACAAATGAGTCTTGTTTGAATCATTATCCTGACTTAAAGACTACATGTACATTATATTACATGGTGACAGAAGTGGCTGTTGTGTATTTGGTCTACTGATTAAGAAGATTTTCAAGAAAACAGACAGCAAATGGCAAAGAATCAACCGAGGCTGGCTGTGAAAAAATACCTGACGTTCATCGATCTATGTACATGTACAGGTGAAATTATGGAGTGACCATGGAGATATTGTGTTAAGTAAGACAGAGGATAGATTTGTGGAGGTTGTGCTACATGTTATATCCAAGCTATAAAAAAAAACTGTTGGCAAGTGTTGGAAAATTACTGAATGTCAACCCAGTTCAGAACTCTTTATTTATGCTTTGGTTCCATGGTTCCAGTAATCGGGTATCACCGGATTCTGCACCCCTCTCATGATTTGTTGTTTTAGCATAATTTTTGGAGTAGGCCTGACTCTCAAACAGCAGTTTCAGAACAGCTGACTCCATACTTCCACATCAGAGATGAGCCGAGTATCCAGGAGGGATTGATCCCAAGTCCATCCGTAGTGATATGCTGGTACATAATAACCTTGCATTGTGTATGCGGACTAGTCCCCGTCGCAGTACCCGCTGCTGCACTAGAGATGCTTTCATGAATTTACACAATAGAAAATATCGATCCATATCGCCCACTAGACTTAAGCAGAACAGGCCATCAGTACTGTGGGTTTCTTTCTTCGCGGGTTGTATGGAATGCGAAAGATCGTGGATGTTTTACGAGTCAAGACGAGGAGTAAGTTTATTATTGTATGCTTTTAATTTTAATAACACGACAGAAACAGACTAAGTATTGAGCAGTGCGCTCCTCTCGAAACCCCGTTGCCACAACAGAGTGAAGTGTACTGTATGTCATTATTTTGTTTGGACTGGAGGACCACTCGGTGTTTTCTTAGATGATAATGCGCGGTTGGTGCTGCAGTATTGACACATTGTAAAGAGATGACACGACACAAAAACGTACGGATGGAGCTAACAGAGGGATAGGTAATACCGCGGCAAAAATTCTCGTCCAAACTAATTGAACCAATTCAGATATTCAAATGGGCGTCGTCATTATGCTGGTAGACGACAGCAGAATAAGATGTTTATCCTTTACTGCCGTTCTCAATCCGTGTATTTCATGACGAAGTACTAGTATAAAATGCAAAAATTCAGTACGCAAACTATGTTATATCTAAAACGGAGATGAGGTTATATAATCAATCAGTCTTGAAACTGCAATAAACTCTGATCTCCAACTGATCCCACAAGTACAAGACGAGGTCCAGTCCAAACATATATAATAGACGTTACAGGATCGATATCAAGTTCACAGACTGTTTTTAAGCTTTCCGCCTCAAAACCCAGAACTTCGGTAGAACGGCTAGTCCGTGCAAGAGTCGCCCCTCGCTTGATTTACTCAGGGGAAAATGTCAAGTATTAATTCCTCAAACAATTACAGCAAAGTGGTTTCAGAACATAAAAAAAATATCGAGGGGCCAAAATAAGAAGGGGTTGACCTACCAACCGGCCGGAGTTGTTCATAGGTTGACGTGGGTGAAGCCAGTTCGTGAGTAATTCAGTAATGTCGATGCAATCATTGCAATAAGGTTCTCTGACTCTTTTGCCAACGATAAATTTGGAGACGAAAAATATTCGATGAAAAATGGGCATCGGTGGATTCGAACCAGGGATTTTTCGATCCATAATTAAATCCGCTTGGCTTCTGTGACAAATTGACAATATCCGTGCTTTAGAATGCTTCAGTGTAACTAGTAGACTAAACAAATAATGGTGTTGACGTCTTGTTTCTTTTTTTGCTATGAATAAACATAATTTCCCATTTTTTTCCTTTCAGGTTGAGCTTTTGTCAACATTCAAGACGGCGTGCAGTAAAGGAGCAACGTACGCTGAAACATTAACACTACATAATATATGCCTACTCAGACTAATGATAAACTGATGACCTGAAACAGCCTTTCAAAGACATAGGCCTAGAGAGTGTCGTGAAGTCCTTTCCGTGAGTCATTCGAAAACATGTCGAGACGATATCTATTTTTTCTCGTAACTATTTCAGCCGCATGTTTTCTCCTCTATTTGGTGGTGAGACACGCCCCAATTTTGGGGAGCCACCAGAGCCACATCGTATCAGCAGTGAAATTGAGATCAGGTCAGTCAAGTGATGTGGGGCTGCCGTCCTTTTCACTCTGCAACTGTTCTTGTTCGACTGTGAACTCCGTCACCAGAGCCGCCAAAGGCAGGCATGCGACAACTCCCGCGTCCGGACACCAGACTGTTGTAGACGTGAACTCTGACCCCGTCCGCCATGATGTTGTCATGGGAACCAGACCTTTGGGTTCCAGTGTCGTCATCATGGCAGTCATGCGGACTGGTTCCTCATTCGTCGGCGAGATATTTGGCCAAAACGAAAACACCTTCTACCTTTTTGAGCCCGGCATTCCCCTCGAAAACGAACTGATTGCCCACAATGAAACTAGTGTTTTCATGCAACAGTTGTACATTGATATGATGAACTCGTTGTACCGGTGTAATGTGACTTACCTGGATTTTTACCTCAAAAGTTTGTCAGGCAAAAACCAGAACACTATTCTGAAATCTGCACCGCGGCTGTTCGATTCGCTGTGCCCCAAAATGAAACGCGGTGGCTCGGGTCGCTTTCTGTGCGGGAAAGTTTCGCCAATACAGTTTGTGCAAAAATGTCGGGAGAAAAGATCCATTGTGATTAAGTCTATTCGCATTTGGCACATCGGGATGTTTCTGCCGTTGATACAAAGCGCCAACTTGAAAGTCATTCATCTCGTTCGGGACCCACGAGGGATGACTGCATCTCGAGTACCCGCCATGAATGTCGTTGACAACACATCCAACAAATTACAGGCCGAGTCGTTCACGGAGGAAATGCGCGAATATCTTATACGATACTGCTCCCTCAGCCTGGAAAACAAAGAAACAGGCCTGTACCTTCCTAAGTACAGAGACAACTACTTTCTGCTGAGGTATGAGGACATGTCATTGGATCCAGAGAGAGTCACCCAACTCCTCTACAACTTCACTGGACTTGGTGCTGTCCCTGAGACAGTATCTAAATGGATCGCTGAGAATACCCAGGCTTATAGACCTGGAGTATACTCAACTACCCGAGTGTCCAGCCAAGTGTATCAGTCGTGGCGTAAAAAGTTAGACTTCAAGACCGCTAAGGCCATCGAGAATGTTGGACGCTGTGCTGAGATGATGGAGCATTTCGGATACCTTCCCGTGCGGGACAAGTCGCATCTCAAGAACCTGTCGTTTCCCCTCCTCGCTCCCATTCCAGCGGAACACGATTCCCAGAAATATCAGTCATATCGTTTCACAGGTTGACTATAGGCATGCTCCCTTCAAATCAAAGCAACTCCAAAAAACAACCGTTCATAACTTTGATCCAAGACTTTAATAAGGGAATAAATGTGTGCTCCGGAGGTTTTTATCACTCTGTTTAATACCACTTAGAGTCTGGGTGCTGATAATTACCCGAGCCGGAGGCGAGGGTAATTATCAGCACCCAGACTCTAAGTGGTATTAAACAGAGTGATAAATACCGACGGAGTACATATTTATTCCCATTCATAAATACCTTTTCGGTAAAAAAAAAATCATATAATTCATTCAAAACATCCCGATTTTGTTCAACAAATTCACTTTATGCTTTTTGAAACATCCCTCCTGCAAAATAATGGAGTGTTCAGCTGGCGAGTAAGATGAAAACAACCCTTTTATGGAGAGTGACGCGCGCGTATCATGTTCTACGCGATGTCGCGCAGAACGCACCTGGCGCGTTGCGTTTTGAATTTAGAACTATAAAATTCTAACTCCCTGGTAGTGTTGCGCATGCCTACGTGAGGATTGTGAACGTTCAACCAATGAAACGATAAGAGACACTGGATTTTTAGGAGTCCACATTTTATTGTGACACTGGAAAAGTGTTTAAGACCAGCTAGCCATGTCTTTATCATCCGTTTAATACCGGCCACGTGACGGGCTCTCGACCAATAGGAATGGCTAAACTGTCTGAGGTATTTATGAATCAGTGTTAAACCTATCCATAGGTTCTTTACTGGCCAAACTTTCAAAAGGACCTATAATGTGCATCCGCACATGTTCAGAGAGGGAGAAATGTTCATTTTGAAAGCAACAGGGAAATGTCTTAGCCTATGTGTGTAAATTTGGCCCCATCTATTTGCATGCGCAAAAGTGGAATCCCTCATACAGGGCCCTTTAGTACAGTTTGATTGGTCCAATTCTGGGCTTTGATTGTGTTTCCCTGATTTGCAGCACTGCAGCTGTCAATCTTCCGCGGGACGGTACAGATCAGTATGGGCGGCCATTAGGGCAAAAAAGACAAAAAAATAAATAAAACAAAACCACAAAATTATACGAAAACACACAAAAATTAAACGAACAACTCAGAAATAAACAAATATAACTCAGAAATAAACGAACAACTCAGAAATAAACGAACAATTCAGAAATAAACAAACAATTCAGGAATAAACAAATATAACTCAGAAACAAACGAACAACTCAGAAATAAACGAACAACTGAAAAATAAACGAACAACTCAAAAATAAACGTAAAACTCAGAAATAAACGAATAGGTCAAAAAGAAACCATCAACGCAGAAATAAACAATCAACTCAGCGTTAAACGATCAACTCAGAAATAAACGATCAACTCAGAAATAAACGATCAACTCAGAAATATACACGAACTCAGAAATAAACGAACAACTCAGAAATGAACGAAGAACTCAGAAATAAACGAACAACATCCCCAGGGTGTCGAGCAGCAGTACGCGCCCACCATGTACCATACATTACAGAAGTGCAGACGACATAATGTTTACCGCGGCATCCAAGATGGCGGACACCTTGCATCGCTTCACGTGATAAACACGGACACATGACACATCACGGGTGAAGTGGGTTTTCGTGGACGACCTCCGACGCCTATTAAAAGGAGTCTAAGCGAAAGGTAAGCCTGATTACAGTTTGATTTTTATGATGGAAAACGTCGACTTTAATCGTAAACTTTTACAATGTCAATGGCATATATATCCCGCCGTCATGTCTGTACGTCATGCGTGTGGGACGGGTTTGGCCACTGTACTGGCGCACGCGCGCGGTGCGGTGGGCAGACCACGGACCATTACATGGTCCGTGGTAATGGAAATGGTCCGTGGTACATGCATGGTCAGACCGACCATCGAGCTATATCCGAGGTGGAATGATTCCCACATCTGGCCATCACTATTTTTCCCCTTCAGTGACCTATCATGCATCAGAAAGTGATAATTTGTCCAAACAATTAAAATTTAGCTTGGGAAAATATTGAAATATTTAGGAAACACTTGGAATAGAAACGTACAGACCAGTTTCATACGGTTTGTGCACAGGGATGGCCAGATATGGGAATCTTCCCATCACTAATTGTTCCCTGCAGTGTTAACAGCCATCAGCTGGAGAACATATTGAAGTATTTACCGAGAAAAAACGAGGGAGGGGAGGCAAGGGGGGGGGGGTACCCCCCAGAAGAGCCACACAAAAAAGGAAGGAAAAAAACAAGATAAAGGAAATTTAAGAAATAGAGGTGCAAAGTCATATTTTTGTAAATTAATGAGTTGGGGGGGGGGCAAAATGTCCCTGCCCCCCTCTAAAACTGATAAATTGAGAATATGTTGAGAAATACAGGATTTTTTGGGGAAAAATATGTTTTACCCCCCATTACAAAAAATCCTGGCGACGCCTATGTTTGTGCATAGGGTCACCATGGTCACTGTCATGGTGATTTCCAGGTATAAATCTTTTTTCTGGATAGCTTTATGATAGGTGATTGCACTCTATTTTACTCTACACTGCCACCATCAGTCCCCTGATTACAACTTGATTAACATCTATGTAGGCCTGGTCTTAAAGAGTTTGTGATGAGATTTTGCAACTTTTCATGCTAAACCGTTCCATATATTTTGTCATTTGTCCCAACAGAGAGCAGGATATTATGAACGGTGTTCAAGCCAGCTACATCAATGATCCAGATGGAAAGCAACAGAAACTCAACTGAAAGAAAGCAACTTTAGTCTTGTCTGATAAGTGCTGCATGCGTTCCACAGCCCATGCCAAGTATGGACTGAAATTCTGGCTTAACTACCAGATCTTAGCTCCATGATACAAGTATGTAGACAGCAGCTGGCTACTAGCTGCGGCTCCCCGAGTACCTTGTAAAATGGCGAATGCACTGTTAAAGTTATAGAGATTTTTTATTATAAGACCCCCGAAAATCCACAAATACATGTATGAGAGAAAGTTCACTGCAACCACTGATGCATTTATGCAGAGGATTCAATTAGTTTGGAACTTGCTGCAACCCCTGTCCAGGTTGTCATTGAGGATTCTGTCCGAGGACTTATTGAGGTGAACAGTCTGTCAAGGTTCAGAGAGGTGACACTAAAGGAAGTGATTCTAGCCAAAAAGGACTGCACAATTTTCCTCTGCAACTGAGGGAATCAAAACCCATGACGAAGGAGAAATCGAGTTTTACCAAGTGCAGATGCAGATGGCAGTTGTAGGTGTGCCTTGTTGTGACCTTTGAATTTTCACCAATGCCACAGCGATGTGCTCATAGTCTTTGTACATATGTTTCATTCATTGAGGCATTTTTGAAACCATTGAGTATTCTCCAATTTCATAAAGGTCAATGTTTTACCATAAAGCCCAGGGTTTGCAATTTGTTTATCAAGACACCTTGCACAAATTTTATTTGGCAAAACTAGTTAATTGGTCTTGTCATAAATGTGATTGCTCTAGTTCAAAGAGTAAAAGTGCATGTACATGTACATGTTATTATTACAATTATATTTTAGACATTAACATTTTTGTCAACAAATTGCAGACTTTTTATTCATCTTTAAAAATCTATACTTTACTTTTCTATGAATAGTTAGTGCAATTTTAGGTGATATATATATGCACCTAGGACAGTTTAAATACATTTTTCTACTAAGCAATTTGTGTTTCTACTGAGCTAAATGTGTCATTAAGAATAGGAGCAACTTAACATGTATCTGTACAAGGATTGGATGTATTTCGTCAAGATTGGTTTTGGAAACCAACTTCAGAGACTGAAAGTTAACTGTTGATTTATATACGGCAGTTCACATTTTGGAAAGAATTCCACATACGGACGTCACTTGAGACCCTGTATACAACTTTGAGAGTGGTCTGAACATTTCTGTTTTCTCACTAAATTCTTCAATGTTTTCCCTGCTATATTTGACTTTGTACATGTTATCGCTTTCTGATGGCTGGTAGGTCATTGCAAGGAAAAATTATTGACATCCGTATATGGAATTCTTTCCCACATGTTCTTGTTATGTTTAGTAAAAGGATTTTTTAAACAACATTTTAAGGTTTCCTTCCACTCTTGAGATTTAATTTATTGCATTGTACTAGACTGGGGCAAGCATTATTTGTGTGTAACTTAAAGAAACTGCCTGAAAAAAGTACAATTCACATTTCGCAAGTTAATTATTAAACCACTGCTTTAATATCTCATCCAAAAAATGGGGGATGGGGGTTGGGCTGGAGGCACTGGAGGATGGGCCATTTGGTGAATTGGGTGGGGGATGGGGGGCGGAGTGTGAAGTTTAAACTTGTGATTGGCCCCTAACACAACTCTCTGTAAAATTTACATGAATCTGCCAAAGATTAAAGACGACAATGCTGTGCTGCAGATCCAGAAACTTTACTGTGTAGTACAACTTCTGCTAATACAGTTTTGTAGTGGTACATGTCAGGCACAGATTGACTACAATAAAACAGAAAATAAAATGTACGTATTTGTTACAAGAAATTACCCTGTACATGTGTATTTGTGTAACCTTATTGTAACAGAATTAGCTCATTACATGATATCACTTACATGTTCCAAACACATGCACACACATGTCCAAAGCAATGTTTATGTAAATACACATGTAGGCCCCTACAATGTACATGTACATGGAGTGAGTGTATCAACTATGACCTAAATCCAGTGTCAGTCCAACAATTTGCATTTATACTAGCTACTCCACATTTAAAGAATACTGATGTCTAAATGCAAGAAGGGTTTATGTACACCCTGTATAAATCTCGACCTGCAGTACATGTGCTTTTAACAGGTTCCACAATACCGTGACTATGCAACCAACAAATGCGTTGAAAATGAAACTTATAGGCTATAAAACGGTACTAAATATCACACTAATCACTAAATAATTTATAGAAATTGTTTAACAGTAAACTGCTGTACCAACCGTTTAATAAACCTCAGCGATTATTGCTTTGGGCGAAGAATTTAACACACAAGTTGCAAACTCTACAACGCTAAATCTATGTTGCTAAGGAGCACTTG